ATAAGAATAATTTAATTGGAATTAATAATATTTTTACTAAATTTTTGATAACTATATAAGATAATAAAAATTTAGATATAATTCATAAGATTTTTAATATATTTTATAATATACTAAAGATATTAAAAAATATTCAAGATAAGTTAATTTATATATAAACATTAATGCTTTCTCTAAAATACAACATAAGGTTGAAAATTAAAATGTTAAACTTTGAAAAGAGTTTGAAACAATAGTTTCTAATTAACGAAGGATAAAAATTGGGAATTCTTCATATCTATCTATTATTTAAACTAATGTTATCAATTACATTTAATTGTAATGATAGAAAAAAAAAAAAAGTTCTGATTTCAGTTCCAATTTACTTTAAATAATGAATGCAATCAGAGGATTAACCAGAATATATCGAATTAAAAGATTTTGATAAAGAAAATATATATGAGAAAAATAAACAATAATTGTAATAAGGTATGTTAAGATTAGGAAAATATTACCAATTGCATATCCTTCAGAAAAATGATAATATTCTGAGAAGATTGACAAAAAGCTAAAGAAAATCAGACGAAACCAAGTCTACATAGAAAAAATCTCTTAAAGATAATTGAAAATTAAGAAAACCTTATGAAAAAACAGTAATAATATAAATAAAAACCTAAAGAATGGAGATAAGAATAATTTGAGGCTTTCTTATAAAAGAATCCACTCTCTAAAGGTTACCTGCTATTTTTAGTTTCCAAATTGCTTAGAATTAAAGTAATGAAATTGAAAAATTTAACTCATCGACAATTTCAAATTGACAGAAAACCAAAAAGATAATATTTATTGATTGAGTAACTCAACTGAATAAAAATTTTTAATAATATTATTCCAAACAAAGACCAACTGATTATTTCAATCTTATTTAAGTTTTTTTATCAAATTGATTGTATTTCTTTTTCCGCTATTGTTAATGATTTTCGCTGAATTTCTTTCAAGATTTTTTTTTGATAAATTGTCTTTTTCTGTTAAATTTATAATTATTTTTCTCCTATTAAATTAATAATGAAAAAATTTACTTTTTTTTCATTTGTAAAGGTTCTTATCAGTCTTCTGGGCTACATTTTCTAAAAGTTGTTGAATTAGGCTTAATATTTTTAAAACATTCACAGTCATTTTTTATGAAATTAATATTTTTTATCTATTCCCAATTCTTAATTTACAGGAAATGGAACCAATATTAGTTCTTTCATATTTGAATATTTTTTCACAAGTCCAAGCAAAAATAAAATATTTATGATGTCTGTTTAAGAAACAAATACTTAATCAAATAAAGATTTCATGAGATATTCATGAAAGGATGAATTTTATTTTTGCAAATATTTTCCTTCTATAAATAATCCTGAATTATCAAATAAGTTATATTGGTATCGAGATGATATTTCAATAGTTTCATCTATTTCTTCCTCTGTAAATTAATTCTTAAAAAGGAAAATTTAATTAATTAATTAAAAAAAGTTGGTAAACTCAATTGGTTTTTTTTGTTTATTTTGTTATTACTCAAAAAAATTCTCAAAAATAACTGAAAAAAAAGTGATAGAGAATAAAATATTTAAGCAAAAAAAATTATTTTAAGCTGAAAGAAAACATCAATAACCTTAAATAGCAGACTAAGTTAAACTTTTCTTTCTAAGCATCCAGAATGTAATGAATTATGTTTAGATTTTTCTGAGCGGATAACCAATTCAGTCAAACTAAGCATAGAAATTTAGAAAGTTCAAGCAGCATCATTAAAGAAAAGTAATTTTATATTTGAAGCAATACTTAATTAAAATGCTATCGAACAAGAAGAGGATAATTTCAACCAACAAAGAACAATTTTCTAAACATTTCAGTAATAGTAGACGAATTTCTTGCCCTCTAGATGAAGAATAAAGATAGTTAATTTTAGAATTATCACTAAAAATTTCCAAAATTTTATACTTTCTTAAATTCTCTTCATATACATTCCTAATTAAGATAAAAAATTAAACTTAAATCATTCAATAACAAAAAGTAATATAGATAGAGACTCGTCAGAAATAATGGCTAATAAATATTAATCAAACAGCATTAATTCCCTTTGTAAAAATTTTCATTATAATATTCCTGAAGAAACCAATCTAAATTTTCAGGCAAATAATTGCAATTTTACCTCAATCAATTAAATTTAGAGAGACAGGAAAATTGTAAAAAGATTACCCAAGAAAGTATTGAAAAAAGACCTGATTAATCTGGGAACTTAAATTTAATTTAAAAGATTTTGCCTTTTCTAATATTTGTTTCTTGATGATATTTCTAATACAGAAGAGGCTTATTGGCTTTCATATTATATATATTTTTGAACTTGCTGAAAGAATATTAGAACTTTTTGAATAAATACTGTGAAAACGAAATCATTTTCACAGTAAATATTTGTGTTATTATGAAAGAATAGTATTTTATTAAATAATTTATATAATTTATAGACTAAAATCTAAAAGATTTAGAAAAACCAATAAAAACAAATCGAAAATATAAATTTTTACAAAAAATCATTAAAAGAACTTGCAAAAATTCAACAATTTGCATTATCAAAATTAATTACAATTCACATTTTAGAAAAATAAAATGCAAATTATATATAAAAGATTCAATTTTTAAAAAAAAGAAACGCTAAACATTAAAATTTGATGTTTTTTCACTGTAATCATTGAGTAGATAACAATTACACAATAAATAGCTCCTCGCAAAATATTAAATAAACTTAATCAAAGTTAGTAGACTTCGGAATAGTGAGTAGGTATGGATATAAACCCATCTACAAACCTTACTGATTTCAGTTGTTACTTCTCATATAATTTCATCTTTTACAATGTTATTTGGTAATTTATTATTATTGAAAATACTACTGATAATTTTTAAATCAATAGTATATATTATTTCTATTATGGATTATTAATATTTTAAGGGAGATTTTATTTTTTTAAATCCAAGATTTGAAAAATTATTAAAATCTGTTAGAATCTTTGTAAAATATTTCTAGTATCTTCTAAATGAACAAGATCTACTCCAAAAGGTGCTTCTTTTCTCTAAAGTTAATACCACAGTCTATTTTTAGGAGTTTGCCCAATAAAATTGTCATCCCCATTGGAGATGTATCGACTTCCGCTCCTTCATAGCTAGCATAGATTTAATAACTATTAGTTTAGGGTCTTTAGGTCGAAAATTGAGTAGTTATCTAGAAATAATATCTATCAGGATTACTTATTGAATTTATCAAAATCCAAGATCTATTAAAAGAATTCAATATAAGTAAGTTCCTATTCCATAACTGGATATATCAGAGAGGGGTAATCAACCAATATCCATCATCATTCCTTGTCTATTCTTTAGCCTTTACTATGACCTTTAGATTATGCTAATTAAATTTTTTCATTTAACAATTTTCATATATATTTTTTTTATATATTATATACTAAATATAAAACTAATTGCAATATTGTTGATAAATATATATAATATCAAATTATAGAATTCACACAATATATTTAATATTTATCTCAAACATTTTCACAATATTTGTTTAATTGAAAAAAATATGATAATATTGTAAATTTAGAAACAAATTTATAAAATTAAATTTCAATTAATTGATCACATAAAAGATAATAGGGGTAAATTATATAAAATATCATTTCTATGTATTGAACGGACCTAAAGGATAATATTATAATTTAAAATTCTAAACTATTTGATATTGGTTTAAAAGCTCTTTTTTTTTTAGGAATAATATAAGATTAAGATAGAGATATACTAAATATAAATATTTAAAAAGCAATGATTTACAAAAAAAATGCTAATATTTATAATAATAATTTGATGTTGCTATTGGATGAAACTTGCTAATTATGTTTCAAAAAATAAAAATGAACCTACTTGCTGTTGGATGCAATTACTTATAAGGCTTATAATTTTTTTATTGTTACTTATCCTATTTTATGATCTTCATTGTTATTGAGATAGTATATCTGAATTTTATCCCTTCATTTTTATTTTTAGGTGGTTGTACTATAATGAGCACTTCACGTTACAATAAATCAATATATTAAGGGAATATTAATGATGACTGAATTATTGGCAATATAGAATTGTTAAGAAAATCAATTATTATTTTAATGAATATCATCCATTCTTAATATTGTTAAGCAATTAACTTATATAAATCTAATCGTATCAATCTAAAAGATCTAAAACTCTTTCAACTTTATAAAATATTCTAATTATTCTATAAATTATTTATAATATTTAAATTTTGGCTAAATTGGGTCTATTATATATTTTTAAACCAAAGAAATAAATTTACCAGAAAATCTGTTTAAATTCTTTTAATACACTAAATAAATATGGTTCAGAGTTTTTCAACAAAAAAAATTCATTTGACATAACCTAAAATAGCCAATTTTAAAAGATCAGATTGTAACAACTCTTAGATTCTAATGATGCAATATCAAGTTTAAGAATTTAGTGATTCTTTTTAGGATATAAAGTTTAACTTTAAATAAAGCAATAATAAATGGTTCAATCTTGTCATCACAAGCTTGAATCAATTTAATTCAACTTGATCTTATAACTTTTCAACTTATATACTTTAATTCTATTTTAGAGTCTGTAAATCCATTGGAATTTGATAGAGTCAAATTTGTACAATTTATGTTTTCTTAATTTTTTCAATATCAAGATAATATTTTTTAAATATTTTTAGATATATAGGGTATGGTTCTTGATTTATTTAATATTATTTTCTTTACTTTTTTCAAAATTTATATATAATTAAAATTGTTAGATTTAAGCTTTGTACAATAATAAAAAATTTTTTAGCTATTTATTCTTCATTGTAATTTGAATATATATATAATAATTAAATTGAATACAATTTAGTAAGAAATTTGAAAAAGTATATATTGATGTTTATAATTATTAGTTGATAAAAGTACGATTAAAAATAATTTAAAATGAATAGAAAATTCAATTCTAAATGGAATTTATTTATTTTAAAAATTTATAATAATAATAAAATTTTTCATTTAAGAAACAGTTCCTTTAATTCAATTTCGTAATTTCCTTTTAAATTTTTCTTCCTTTGATCTATTTAATCAATTAATTTTGGTTTTCTACATTTTAATATCATTTGAATAATTCCTGCAAATATAGTCCATGAAAATAAAGAATATTCAAATACTTTATTTTCAAATGCCCAACTAAATATTTTAAGATATTTGATTTAAGTTCCAAATAGTAAATCTACAGTTGTTAATCTAGTATATTAAGAAAAGACACAAGTGCTAAAGTGACATAAAGCAACCGAACTTATTAAAATCAAAACAATATTAAATAAGAATGAATTCATCCAAGTTTCATTTATTCTAAAAATATAAGAAATTGAATAAATACTTCATTGGGTGAAATTTAAATATCCAAGGCATAGAAAATACTAAATTGCCTTTAGTTACACACCATAATAAATAAAGTGTAAATAATCCAAAGAAAAAAACTGAAAGAAATGCAACATTATAAGCATCTAATTGTATAAAAAGCTTATTTAACCAAGGGGAGAATGGGATTCCATCAATAGTTATAATTACATACAATAATATGTGTAATAACCAAGTCAAAGTAATAATAAATAATATAATTCCTAATAATAATTTAAAGATGTAAACTAATGGATTAGCATTACCAATATCTAATTCTAGTAAAAATATTTCGCATTCTTCTTCTAATTCACTAACTGCAGCAACCAATTTTTAATATTTTTTTTCTACCTTTGAATTTTATTTCCTTTTTGACCACCATCCACTAGCACATTTTACATCTTTTTCCATGTCTCTTAATTTTTTAGCATAACCAATCATTTAGGCCACTACTCTTTTTAATCTATTTTTTTTTTCAGTTGCTTAAGCAGCACTTTTCTAAATTATTAAATAATAAATACAAAAACTGGTCTTGTTCCGTATGAACATACTAGATCTAAAGGCAAAGCAACCATTCCTATACCTCCATATAAAATTAAGAAAAAGTATCCAAGGAAACACATTAATCCTATAGTAAATGTTATGGGATCAATTGTTGTGGCTATGTGATCTTATTTTTCTTCAGTAATTGTAAAGGTATCAATGTTAAGATCAAGTTCACTTGATTAAAATTGAAGTGTAGCATCTTATACTTAAACAGTAACAGGTACTAAAGCATCTCTTAACCAAAAATAGGTTAAGAAAATAGTTAAAAAAGCAAATACTAGGACCATAAATTCTTAAACTAATGTTAAGGTTATTCTTTGACACTTAGATAATTTTAATTTTTACAATAGGTTTTTCATCATCTGATTCATAGTAAAATATTGCAATAGGAATGAGAAATACCAGCATTACAAATACTGAAATATAAATAATTATCCAGCATAAATGCATATCCAAGCCCTATTAATTTCTTTCATTTGTAACATCTAAAGTTAACATTAAAGTTTAGCACCATGATAGGGTTAATCCTAGAACAACAACAATTTTGCAAAAAAACGATGATCCAAATCCACCATCTTCAGGATGACAATATAAAGCAAGTAGATATACATTCACGTACATTAATAACAATGCCAGGACACATACTATTATTATTAAAAATACATCCATGTTGATTTAGAATGTAAAAGTATAAAATTTTAATTAAAAATTAAATGAGTGCAGCAACAAAAGGTTTGATTGAATTTGTAAATCCATGTAATTTAGATTATCTATTTAGATAAATTGCCAAAATTTGTAAAATAAGTTCATTTACAAATGAGAGAAATAGAAGGAAGACAACCATTTGGATAGGGCTTATATCATTGCAATAATTATGAGAATCTAATAAAAAGACTCACTGAAACAAGACAACAATATAGATAATCAAAAGAAATTGAAACTAGAAAATAATTAGCCTAACAAGAATATTAAGCTTGGACTAATTATATCAAAGAACGTTGTCTAGAATTACCACAATAACATTAAGTAACTGGAAAATAATTAAATGAATTGAGAAGATCATATGAAGTGTTTATTGCTAAAGGAGAGAACGGACTTAGACCATCTGAATTGCTCAATGTTTTTAATGTATTTTTAATAATTTATATCAGGATTACACAAGAGTTAATTAATTTACGATACCACTAGATAATTGGTGTGTATTATAAATGGTACATTATAGCATGGGTTATCCAATGAATATGAATAGATTATTAACATTTGAAGAAATAGCTACTTTAGTTTAAACAAAAGTTTTAGCTACTTATGAAAGATCTCTTGGTTAAGATCTCTTATTTAGAGAAATTTGTTCATATGGTTATTGGAACTTATTTGATCAAAGCAAAGGCTCTATGAATATTAAGGACTTTAGTAATTTTATTAAGGTATTCATTATATTGATAATTTATAGATATTTAAATATAATGTTGAACCAACATTAGGAGGAATATTAAAAGAGTTTGGATTTGCAGCAAATCTGTTTTAAGGAGAATTTATAAAAGAAATTGATCCTAAAGAAGACATAGTGAGATTCGATTTCTTCAGATATTTATTTTTAGAGAGAAATTTGTGATTATTATAATAATGATGTAAAATAACAATAGAATGATCTGGAGGAAAATTGATCCATCAGGTAAATAGCCAGGAGATAGGGCAGCTCATTCCTGTGATTTAATTATGGGAAAACTATATATATTTGGGGGATGGAATGGAATGAACGCTCTTGCTGACATTCATATTTATGATCTAAATTCAAATTAATGGTCAGAATTATAAACAAATGGAGAGTTACCATCATATAGAAATAATCACACAACAGCGGTTTGTCAAACAAAATTATATGTTCATGGAGGTCATAATGGAAATACATGGCTAGATGATCTTTATTATTTGGAGACAAATGGATAACATGGTTAGGCTAGTTGGTACAAAGTACATCCACAAGGTTAAATACCTACTGCAAGGGCTTGTCATTCTTTGAATATTGTTTCTAAGAAACTCTATTTATTTGGTGGTTATGATGGTTAAGAATGCTTTAATGAGATAGAAATATATGACATTTAAGAAAATCGATGGATATAACCAACTGTGAGTGGAACAATACCCACAGCTAGAAATGCGCATACAATGACCAGGTAACTAAATAATTATAGTAGATATAAGGAAAATTTGTATTTGTTTGGTGGTCATTCTGGAGCATAACACTTATAGGATTTACATGTATTCAATACTTATAAGTTGGAATGGACTCAAGTTATTACCAAAGGGACTTTACCTAAAGGTTTAAGAGGACATACAGCTAATTTAATTTAAAATAATATATATGTATTCGGTGGGTATGATGGTTCAGGTAGATCAAATGATCTTTTCATTTATAATTTCTTAACACAATAGTGGGTTATTCCTAATCATCATGGAACTGGAACTTATTTATAAATGGAGGAAGTAGCATTATCTTAGATACCCTAACCAAGATAGAGGCATTCAGCAACCGCAACAGGTATTTATAATATCATTGAAAATTTTAGAAAATGATCTTATCTATATTTTTGGTGGATTTGATGGTAACAAATGGTTGAATGATCTTTATGTATTGGATGTTGGATTATTAGAAAATCGTACAATATAAGAGGAAAACTATCAAAGAGTGATTTCAAATATTCATAAAAGTCTATTTAATAATAAAGAGCTAAGTGACATAGTATTTGAAATAGGTAATTAAAAGATATATGCTCATAAAAGTAATCATATATTAATTTATATATTTTAGTTTATTTAGCTGCTTAATCTCTATAATTCAAAGCTCTCTTTTTCTCTGATACGAAAGAAAGTGATTAGTAGACATTTATTATAGAAAATTATTCTTATAAATCCTTCTATATTTTTCTACTTTTTGTTTATACAGGATTTATTAATGTGGCCGAGTTGGATATTGAATCAATGGGAGAAATATTAAGTAAATTTAATAATTATCTTAGGTTTGGCTGATTAATATTTAATTGATGGACTTAAAAATCTTATGCAGAAAAGCATTAAGAAATATATTAGTAATGAAACTGTTTGTGATTTATTAATCTTTGCATAAAAATGTTCTGCTCATTCACTAAAAAATGCATGTATGAATCATTTACTAAAGAATATCAATATTATATCTGAATCTCCGAAATATGAAAAGCTAGAATTATAACCCTCCTTACTTACTGAAATTACGAGAGCATTACTTTAACATAAAGAATGAATCAATTTTGATATAATGTATGAATTCAATATCAAATAATATTAAAATTTCAAGTTAAATAAATATTTATTTACTTAACTATTTAATAAAAATGGAAGAGTAACAGATTATAACAATCATTTTTTCTAATTATATTTATACTAAATTTAATTAAAAATATGATAACTAATCCTGGAATAGTAAGAACAAAATTATTAGAAAGTAAATCCACTCATACTCCTTATACTTAATCTACATTTCATAGTCCCAGTAACTCAAGAACATTGTAATCAACCTATATTATAATAGAGGATTCTTCAATAAAGAATTAAAAAAAATACAGGATTCAAATAAACTCTAACCTTTCCATGTAGAAAAATAAAGTCATTCAGCTACATCATCTTGTCATACATTTATGACTTAAATGGAGAGCGCATAACATTAAATTAGAGCAAATAAATTTGGAAAAATTAAAAGCAGAAAATAAGTGACTTTATTCAATAGTGAAGAATATATATCTGATGATATTCTTGAGTTGTATAATGAATATGAAAAGAATTATATCACTTTAAATAAAGTAGAAAAGTTTATTGACATATAAATTTAATAAGTAAATTAACCTCAATCTAGAATTGATTCTTAAGATTTTTTAGCTATTAGTGATGAGAAATTAAAATTAAATGATTTAAATAAAATGAATAAAGTGAAAATACAGAGATTTAAATTCTACTATTTTAGAATTAAAACAAAAGGTAGAATGTCCCCTGTTCAAATATTTTTACATTGTCCAGATAGAGTTTAAAGTTCAAATATTAGAATGTTTATATCTTCAAAAGCTGAATTTCCTACTAAATTTAACTCTGAATAAATCATCTAAGCAAAAAATGCCAAAATGTATGCTGATCACAATTAACCTTATTTCTCTAAAGAATTTTTGTATATAACACTTTACTCTGATATAGATTTCGAAGTAACAATAGACATAATTTTTGGAAATCCAATTTAAAAGATTATTCCTAGAAAATAGTAAGTAGAAGAAGACCTTTTAGATATTCGACCTTAAACATAAAGGATTATTAAGAGAGATAAAATAATTTATAATTTGGATATGAAATAATATTTACAAAAAATGAAAAATCTTGAATAAAATAAAGTAAATTTATGAATAAATGAAAGTTAGAAAGAGAGTAGAAACAATAATTAGTACTTATAAATAAGAAAGTTATTTAAGAAGAAAAACAAGTTGATAAAGTATGTAAAGTATTAGCTAGAGAATCGATAAATTAATATAGAGAAATAGAAAAAATTATGAAATAAAGGAGAGAACAAATAAAAATATTTTAAAATTCTTGGTGTTAAATAGTGAGTTTGTTTGATTTTTGTAAGGAAGTTAAGACAAAATTAGAAGTAATTTGAAAATTTATAAAAGGATATTAAAAGACATAAAAAGGCCTAAGCAAAAGGAAAGTTATTGGTTTGGTAATTAAAAACAATGGCATTAATGAAAGTTTAAATATATGGATCAACTCCAAAAGAAAGAACAATATTTAAATCAAAATTAATTTTATAATCCTATGCCTTATTGATAAAAAAGAAAACAAAATTATTAGCTGAAGAAGTTATTACTAGGTTTATTAAGAAGATGTTACTCTATTTAACAACTTTAAATAAATAATAAAGTCTTATAAAAAAAGGTATAGAAAAAATATTTGATTTAAGTGAAAACAATTTAAAGAAAGTTTAGGAGTTTGAAACTAAAAAAAAGAATGTTTAGAGATAAATTTTGGAAATAAATAAAAGAAAATATATGCAATATTGTTTATTAATTAAGAAGATAAAAAGATGTTCGAAATTTATTTAGTGATGGAAAGAAACCTACAATATTAATAGATGTGTAAATAATAAATATTCATTTAGACCTGTAATGTAGAGTCTTATTGATGATTATTGTGAAAAAGCTAGAGCCAGATGGATGAATTATATTAATAGAACATTCAAAGAAAAGAATAGGGCAAAAGTTAGTTATTTATTATATTAAATTAGAAAATTTAAAATGTTGCATTAAATTTTACCGAACCAAAATTATATGACATGCCAAATGAATACGAATTAACTTAATTAATTGATTAATATGCTAAAATAAAAAAATTATATTGAATCTAACATAGTTTAATTTCTTAAATAAAACATTGTACAATTTCTATTGATTTAAACTAATAAAATAAACATAATCAATAATAATAATTTATAACAATAATTATTATGATTACCTAGCTTAGTCAAATAGAGAGAAGTTTATCAAAAATAACTAGTCCTTCTTATCAGTAATTAAGAAAATATTGTTAGTACAGTGTAAGGTTCTATGAGACATCTTTCAATGAGCCAATCTCAAATGACTCGATCTAAAATTTATACATCTTCTCATCCTGAATCTCAATTTCTATAATTAGATAATGATATTCTCGAAATATATGATGAATTTGAGAAGAATTACAATACCATATAAGAAATAGACAAAACTAATACTAAAATTGAAACAAAACAAAAGATTATTGAGAAACCTAAAATAATATAATAACAGAAAAAGTTATTGAAAACTTTTGATGGATTATAATAATCTGATCTTGAAATTGAATATATTAATAGGATATAAATTGTCAGATTTAGATTTTATTACTTTAGAATAAAAATAAAAGGAAAATAATGTAATAATCAAATATTATTAATTTTTAGCTCCTTTACAGATCTTATTAAATTTCCCATCCAAAATAACAAGCACTTAATACAAGTTATTCGTTTCGACTACAATAGAATTTCCAAATAAATTTAATGCAGATCAATCTGTTTAAAGTAGATTTGTAAAGATTAACTCTAAACAGAATTCGAAATTATTTTTTGATGAATATGTTTACTTAACATTTTATAGTGAATTTGATGCCATAATAGGTATGTAAATTACATTTGGAGAATAATAAACAGCATCAAATGGATAAAAATTAGTATAATCTATGATAAATTTTGATACATTTCCTGAAAGAAGAACAATACATCCTAAAGATAAGATTCTATAAAATATTGAAATGGCTAAAACTAAAATGTTTTCAAAATTAGATGAAATGCTAAAAGCAAAACGTAATATAATAAAGAATATATTAGATAGAAATACTAAATCTTAAGAGACTATTTAGAGATCAAAATTGATCTAAAAAGAAGTGAGATAAACAAGATTAATTAAACTATTAGTCAAAGATTAAATAATATAATTTAGAGAAGTAGAAAAAGTTCATTAGAAAGAATTATAATTATAAATATTTGTTAAAAAGAATTGGATATTAATAACAACAATATTTAATATATGTAGATAAATTTATAGAAAATTAGAAGTAAAATTATTATTTATGCTAGAAAGTAAGACGTAAAAATAAAATAGCAGCAAGAGCTAATTTATTAGTATGGTAATTGCATACAAAGGCTTTAATTGAAGTAAAGAAATATGGTGATAATCCATTTATAAGATCTCTTAGTAAATCATCTATTGTTTTATCTACTTTTACATCTTACATCTAAGAGAAATGTATTACAAAATCAGAAAGAATAATAAGTTCATTCTTGGTTGATATCATTCTTTATTAAACTTTCATAAATAAACATATTTAATTGATTACTAAAAGTATTTATATCCAATAAATTTATTAGTAAAATGCATTTAAAGAAATTATAGAAAACTTCGATTGGTTAGGAAGAATTTCAAAGATAAATTTATAAAAGCTTTCAAAGAAAAACTTTAGATCTTATATTAAGGAAGAGGAAGTGATTAAAAACCTAGAATTAATATTGAATAGTAATTTTACTTGATTATTTTAGACATATTATTACTAAATTATTTGAAGAATATTCAGCAAAGATAAAACATAGATGGATTGATTCTCGAAGAGCCATAAATGTTTTGTCAGTATTTAAAAAAGTAATCATTTATAATCAATAAAAAAATAGAGTTTTTCAGTATAAAGATAAGAAATCAAATTATATTCATTACCTGATGAAGCAGAAATGTAATTGATAATTTAATAATATTACAAAATAAAAAAATAATTGAGCTGAAATTTTAACTTTATTTTAAATAATTATTTAATACATTTTAATATAAAATTATATCATAATTTTTTTAATAGAATCTAATTTTTCTAATTTTGGAATTACTAAACAAATTTATAAATTTTATCATTTTCTTTTGGTATCATTATTATTAATTAATCTATAATTTCTATGCATTCTTTTTAATAACCATCGTCTATTAATTTGAAATTCAAAAGTAGTAATTTATTTAATGCAATATCTTACATTTCCTAATTATTAATATATTTCATAGCCTAGAATGAATTATAAATTATTTAATTACAAATGCCTTTACATTATTTACTTTTGATTAAGAATCTAAATTTATTTAATCTTTCAAACAAAATGACAAAACTATTAAATAAAAATCTCTTTCCAAATTCTAACGATCTTAAATTAATTCAATGTCTTTAAATAGATTCAATGTATTATAAATTGCTAAAATATAATAATCATTATTTTTTAATAGATTATTTGTCATTACTGAATCAATCCAATCAAAAAATGGTAATTAAGCCTATAAATCATAATTTTTAAATACTTCTAATTTATTATTTTTCATCACTCTACTCATTTCTTAAATATAAAATATAACTTTATCAAATTGTTCTTTTATTTTTTCCAAGTTCTTTGTTTCTAAAATTTCATTAAAAATGTTCTTATGAAACTATGAATATTTTTATATTAATCTTACATAGAATACATATATTATCATATCTTCAAAATCTATATTATTTAATTTTTCAATTTGGGCTAAAAAATTGTTCATGTCAATTTCTTTCAAAAACCCCAATTTTTTACATTAATAAATATTAGCATATAATAAAAATAACATAACCTCTGAGACAATATCAGCTTTGTAATCATAAGCCTCTTTTAATAATTCAGCTGCTTTTTCAAAAAGATCTTAAGATACCAAATAGTCTGCAAAAGACACCATAAAGTCTAAAAAACAATCATCTTTCCAGTAAGTTGAAAATAAATCAATCAGTTTTAAAACTAAATTATTTTTTATTTCTGTTTAAATATCTTCAGCTGATTTTAAATTTGCAAAAAGTTAAAATAAATTATTCAAAATTAAATGTAAATCAAATTAGCCTTCAGGCATTTTTAATATTTAATCTGCTCTAGATTCTAATTCCTAAATTCCTTAATCAAAAAATCTTTCAAATTCATCCATTAAATTTCTCTTTCTATGTATTTATGCAATAAAAAAGAAGAAATTTATGTGAATATCATTTAGATCTATAAATTTCATTTTATCAGTTGTAAGAAAGTCATATTTAGATAAAATTTCTGAACAAATTTAATCATGAATTTCAAGTTAATCTAAATAATCACTAATAATCAATAATATTTTATTACTTCATCCAATCATGTAATTAATTAATATCTGCTTCCATACCATAATTAATCATACTACACATAATGCTTGCAGCCTTCAATTTAATCTTCAAATATTCCAAATTTTCTGGTTCTAGGTATTTATTTTATTTGATTTTATCTATATACTTGTTAAAATCGTTGTTTATTAATTTTTATGTTAATGCATTGTTTAAAGGATTTTATGGGTTTATAAATGCATAATTTGCAATTTAATAACGATGTAAAATCAAAATTTCTTATATGTAATAATAATCCAAGTAATTATCATAACAATTTTAAAGATTATCTTCCAAATATTATACAACTTGTAACTAATTATTAAATACCTCTTCAGAATCATAATGAGCTTTTATCTATTATTAAATAGAATCAATATGATCATTTATTTCTTTAATTGAACTTATTATAATTAATTGTATTACATGTTATTATTCTAACAAAAATTATATAATGACTTATTTATATTTTGTTGGTTTGGTATTTGTATTTTCTAAATATAAACCATATTTGTAGATAATTTCACAGTTGATATAATTTACTTAGATAAAGGTAGTAATCTTTTTATCATAATTATTTTAATTAATTATTAAATTTTGTGATTTATTTGATAAAATTATTTACATCTATCTAGTAATAGATAAAAAGTAATTCTGATGGTCTCTTATAAACTAGATAATTATATTTATCTACAAATTTTTATTCTAAACTTCTTTTTAAATATTTTTACTTAGTTATACTTCCAATAAACTTAATTCTTAATTTATCATTAATAATTCATTTAATAAAGATATAGGAAGTATATTTTTATCAAAAACATTGATTAATTTAGTATTTACTAATATAATTATGTTTACAAATTTTATTTTTAACATTACTATGTTGATTTCAAAGAATTAATTATATAGTTCCTTTGAATAGATAGTTAGAAAATAATAGAAATATGTATTTTTTATGTTAATGAAAATAAAAATAATATAAGAATGTCAGAAATTGAGTTGATATGTATATTATAATTAAATAATATATAAAATAATATAGAAAATGAATGTTCAATTCGATGGAGGATAACAAATGGAAAATAATGAAAATGAAGGAAATACTGTTCCTAAATTCACAAAACTTTTTGCAAGAGCAATGGATTAATTTAGATTGAGAGTGTTTTTCTTATTCCTTGAGAGATTATACTTAATAATCAGCATGTCAATTATTTTAGTTTTATTATCATTACAAAATTGTGGGTGGGATGACTTACATTATTGGGTGTTATTTAGCAATCTCCAAGCTATATTTAGTTTAGTTTTATATGGATAATTATTTCATTTCTCTAATAATCAATAAATTTAATAGCATTTAGCTTTTCATTATGTTTAAATAGTATTTGTTCCAATAAATGAAGTGACAGATCATCCAATAGCTCCAGAAAGTATTAAATAAGAATTATAATAGTTTTTGATCCAACTGCAAACTTATCAACAATGGAATTAGATAAAAAGGCAGAAGTAATGTAATTGTAAATAAGATAAGAGATTGTTAATTAAAATAAATTTTGCAAATACAATAACATCTTTAGCAATGCAACAAATTAGGCAATATTTATTTGGACAATTTATTATATTATAGTTATCCCTGGTTAGAATGATTAAGAATGTAATAAATGGCCAATTATTCAAATTTATATATATGGATCTTTATTATTCTTATAATATTCTTAGTATTATTTATTAGCTGCATTGGCATTAGTGATGCTACCTTTTATTTTAGTTTATTTATTAATTAGATGTTTTACTGATAGATAAAAGAAATAATAAGCTTTGAAGGCATTAAATGAATTATAGAAAAATAAAATTTTATATAAGCCTAACATTATTGAAGGAGAATAAGAATGTTCAATTTGTATGTAACCTTATCAAACTGATGATGAAATCTTATAAATGTCTTGTAGTAAACTTCATCATTTTCATAATACATGTATTTCTGCATGGTTATAAATCCAATCAACTTGTCCAAATTGCAGATAATAATTGTTTCCAGATAATTAATAACCACTTCTTTAGTAACCATAACAATAAGAAGAATTTTGATATATATATTACAAATGAACTTAATTTTTTTCAAATTAGTTTGTTACTATCAAAATACAATATTCATTCTAAATTTTAAATCTGTATCTGTAAACATTTTAACAAATTCATCTAATTCAATTGAATTTGATTTATCATCATCTACAATATTCATAATATCTTTTCCTAGTTTTTCAACATAATCTTTATTCATAAAATTAGTTTAAAATATTTAAGGTCTCATTGACTTTTTCTAAATTCCTGATGATTAACTTTTCATAAATAAAATCTTAAAAACTTCTGTTAAATCTTCCTTTGTTATTTTACCATCTTGATCTAAATCATATATTTTAAACATGTAATCTTTCTTCATTTCTACATCTGCTAATGGATGAAAAATAGTTAAATATTTCATAAATGTTGCAAAATCCATTGTTTCTGTTTTTCGTCTATAGACTATATTTGAAGATATACTTCTTCATATCGTCCTCTATCAATGCATAGATTCTTTCTCTAAAGAAATGCATTCTGATTTCTAATAACTCTTTAAATTCTTCTATTTTAATAGATTGTCTATTATTTTTATCAAGAATATTAAATTTTTTGTTTAGAACGAATACTTCATTCTCAGAAAAAGGAGGGTATTTTGTTGATTTGACTTGCTTCATTTGCTATTATTTTAACTAATCCTATAATGATTAAGCTTTCATTCCTCCACCACCTGTTCCCATTAAAATAATTATTATTTAATATTATAAATAATTAAATGCTATAAATCTAATAAAAATAGAAACATTTAAAATTTTATATCTCTATTTGTTTATTTTATATTACCCTTATCTTTAATTATAAGTAATTGATTTTTTATTTTAAATAATGTGTTTGTATATAATAATAATAATTAAATGAAATAGTACTAATAACTAAGGTAAATAATTCTAAAATTATTTTGATTAATTATTAAAATTATTAAAAACAAAATATTAACAATTAAATATAGAATTAAGGAAATTATAAATTATATGGAATAATTAAAATTGTAATACTCATTTAATTTAAACAAATTTTATTGTCAAATTTTTATATAAATAAATTTAAACTTCAATTCAAAATGGAAGAGAGAATAGTTATTGAAAATAAATATGAATATTGGAGACATTAGAGATTAGTGATAGCAACATTTACAGAAATATATTTAGGAAAAAATATATCAACATAAGAAGATTTTGTATTTAAAATTATCAAAAAATCTAATTATATGTAAAATGTTATTCTATTAACTAAGTAAGGAAGCATATTAATTAACTAAGAAGTAAGGGAAAATACTTATGGTATTAGCAGAAGCTTCTAAAATAGATATTTGCCCATTTATCATTAAAATTTAGGAATGTTTAGAATTATCAAATGATCTTATATATATAGTGTTGGAATATTGTAATTAAGGTTCTTTAAGTCAATATATTAGAAGAGAAAAATAACTCTAAGAAAATGAAGCCTTATACATAATGTATTAATTATTATAAGCACTTGTTTTAATGGCTAAAAATAATATTGTTCATAGAAATATTAAACCTGATAATATTTTTATAAAGGATGGAGTTTATAAATTAGGAGGTTTTGGAATGGCTGAATAAAATTCAAAGTATGAAATTAAGGTAGGAACTTTACTATATATGGCTCCTGAAATTTTTACAGATGACTAATATGATTAAAAAGTAGATGTTTGGTCATTAGGATTGGTTATTCATGAAATACTTTTTGGAGAATTTTATTTTTTTGGAACAAACAAAGAAAATATCCAATTTAATATTTTAACTAAGTAATATGATTTGGATGATAAAAAATATGCAATTTCAAATGAATTAAAGGATTTGTTGAGATAGATGATTCACAAAGATCCTAAATAAGTAAATTATCATAATGTATTGATTTAGAGATTAACAGCAGAAGATGCACTTAAATTTGAGATATTTAATTAATTTAGAACAGATCCAAGATATATTAAAATTATGGAGAATGAGAAATTATTTTAAGCAGATAGATTATAAAAATATAATTAATAAAACTAAATTGAGGAAGAGTAGATATAAGAATAAAGAAAAAGTGAAATAAAGAATTCTATTTGAATCTTAGTCATTTCAACTCATTTAATAAGAGAACTGATTATAATAGAATTAATTTCAAAAAATTTTATCCTTTTTTCAAAAATATTAGGTAATTCATGAAAACTTTTATCCTAATTAAATTGAGGGAATTAAAATTGTATAAATTGACAATTACTCTATATATCATATTATAATTATTAATATAAAAATACTAATTTTACTATTTAATATAAACTCAAAATGAATTTCCTTAGTCTTTATTTAATGGTCCCTTGATGTAATGTCTTGGTGGCCAATAGATTGGATTGTAGTGTGACTTTTGTCTATAATTTTCTTCAACGAATTAAACAATTAAGAATATGCAAATAAATAATGTAAGATATACTAATCTTTCAACAAATCTAATGATTTATTAATAAATTACGGGTCTATTTTTTGATGTTTGACTAATACTTTGAGTTTCAATATTAAAACCATAGTCAATCCAACAAATGTCATTCCAAGACTCAGGAACAATCCTTCAAAACCTAGTTATTATCTACCACTATTGGTCTTCCATTATAAACCACCTTTGTTATTTTATGTAAAGAATGGAACATTATGAATAATATTATAGACAACTCCAGCCAAACAAATAATGAATATGATTATAGATCCTATAAACCACAATTTTGGATTTAGAAATAATGGTCTAGCTATAATAAATATTAGAGCTCCAAATGTTAAAGCTCCAAGAAGAACACCGATAACAGTAAGTGCTTCAGAAGTTGAAGCCTTGTAATCAACTTATCTTCCAGTCCTCTTGTTTATGAATTCGAGGAATTTATGAGCTGTGACTGTACCATCAGTATATGAAATAGTCCATTTCATGTCTCTTAAATATCTTTCTCTTTCATCTTATGGAACAAATACTATATGAGGTTATGAGACAAATAAATTTGGAGCTGAAATAAATCCAAGTTATTCGAAGACTTGCTTATTTTTATCATTGAATGTCATTGTGGCAAAAAAGACAGCCCTTTTGGATTCACTTTTATATAATGCTCCTGAATCAGCATAGAATTTGGCTACTTTTTGATAATGTTCATTAAGATCATTGCAAAGTTTGCAACTGGGAGCAACAAAATATATAACAATATCATATGGGCGTGGAAATTCCATTGTATAGTAACTTGAATATGAATATAATATAATTACAAATATCCAGTTGAATTTAATTCAATTATTCCATCTCTCAATTACATTTCTCTTAATTCATTTGTTTTTTATGAAGCCAGAGAATCTGCATTAATTAAATTGACCAAGAATATTAAAATTATAATCATTATTATTTTAATTATTATTTGTTTAGATTTTATTAATTAGTATTGATTATATTATTTATCATCTTATCATCTCTTTTAATAAAAATAATGTGTCTCACTCTTTTTATGAACCATATTTTACTATTTAATTAGAACAACAGCTATTTTTGATCCAAATTTACAATACATTAAATAATGATTCAGTTATAGATGTATTAGCATCATTTTATATAAAATGAATAGATTAATTCTTTTATTCTCTATTTCTATTTCTATTCCAATTTGTTTACAAATTCATTATTTTTGTCTCTCTATTAAAACCTATTTATTTAATAACTCATTAAAGTTCTTTAAATATTGATCAAACATATATAANTTTATTAATAAATTACGGGTCTATTTTTTGATGTTTGACTAATACTTTGAGTTTCAATATTAAAACCATAGTCAATCCAACAAATGTCATTCCAAGACTCAGGAACAATCCTTCAAAACCTAGTTATTATCTACCACTATTGGTCTTCCATTATAAACCACCTTTGTTATTTTATGTAAAGAATGGAACATTATGAATAATATTATAGACAACTCCAGCCAAACAAATAATGAATATGATTATAGATCCTATAAACCACAATTTTGGATTTAGAAATAATGGTCTAGCTATAATAAATATTAGAGCTCCAAATGTTAAAGCTCCAAGAAGAACACCGATAACAGTAAGTGCTTCAGAAGTTGAAGCCTTGTAATCAACTTATCTTCCAGTCCTCTTGTTTATGAATTCGAGGAATTTATGAGCTGTGACTGTACCATCAGTATATGAAATAGTCCATTTCATGTCTCTTAAATATCTTTCTCTTTCATCTTATGGAACAAATACTATATGAGGTTATGAGACAAATAAATTTGGAGCTGAAATAAATCCAAGTTATTCGAAGACTTGCTTATTTTTATCATTGAATGTCATTGTGGCAAAAAAGACAGCCCTTTTGGATTCACTTTTATATAATGCTCCTGAATCAGCATAGAATTTGGCTACTTTTTGATAATGTTCATTAAGATCATTGCAAAGTTTGCAACTGGGAGCAACAAAATATATAACAATATCATATGGGCGTGGAAATTCCATTGTATAGTAACTTGAATATGAATATAATATAATTACAAATATCCAGTTGAATTTAATTCAATTATTCCATCTCTCAATTACATTTCTCTTAATTCATTTGTTTTTTATGAAGCCAGAGAATCTGCATTAATTAAATTGACCAAGAATATTAAAATTATAATCATTATTATTTTAATTATTATTTGTTTAGATTTTATTAATTAGTATTGATTATATTATTTATCATCTTATCATCTCTTTTAATAAAAATAATGTGTCTCACTCTTTTTATGAACCATATTTTACTATTTAATTAGAACAACAGCTATTTTTGATCCAAATTTACAATACATTAAATAATGATTCAGTTATAGATGTATTAGCATCATTTTATATAAAATGAATAGATTAATTCTTTTATTCTCTATTTCTATTTCTATTCCAATTTGTTTACAAATTCATTATTTTTGTCTCTCTATTAAAACCTATTTATTTAATAACTCATTAAAGTTCTTTAAATATTGATCAAACATATATAATTGATTTATTTATTCTCTTTTTTATTTGATGTGTTTGATTATATATCATCTTTTATTAAATCCTCATTATTATAGAATAGATACAAAAGAGTACTAAAATTTTTACATTATTTTAATTGTCTCTTTATAATAATTTTAATTAACCATCACATTTTTATTTAAAATATTCTGTTAATTTAACAAATCAATAAATACATAAAATTAATAGTATATTAAGAATAATCATAAACAATAATCATAAGTTTTATAGTAGTTCTTCAATATCATCTATGGCTATTTGTTTAAGCATTTTTTTTTAATTCATCTTTTCTTATCTTTCTCTTTTTTAACAATTTAATTTCGGTTAGAATTTTTTTATTTTCTGATAACATTATAATTTAATTAATACCTTGACTTTTGTGATTTTATTTATGGAACTTTAACCTTTGATGAGTCCAATTAATTGGATTATCTCATTCCATCCTTAATTTTATGGATCAAAGAATTTCAACTTGTTTAAATTCTATTCATCCTTCACTATCTATTAATCAATATTGTTAGATAATGATTCTTCTTCTGATATTTGACTCTCTGTTTAACTTTAATGTGATTCTGATTCACTTTATTCGATTGATAACAATTTCATGCAGAAATGATTAGCTTTTCTGTCTGTAAATTTTATTTATTTATTTTTTCTTTTAGAATTTCCTAATAAATTGTTAAGATTCAGTATTATTTTTATTTAATAATCTCAATCTATCCCATTTTATTTCAAATATCTATAATATTAATCTCAATATTCACAATACTAATAAAAAAACTTAGTTCAATCTATGTTTTATACTATATTGTATAACTTTTGTTCCTATCATCATATCTTAATTATTTTTGGTATAATTGTTATAGTTATGTATCTTCTTTTCATAACCATTTATATAAACAAATCATATGCTGAAATAACAGCCTAAAATTTTTGTCATTTTTTCCACTTGCTGAATGAATCTTTGTAATCTATTTAGTTCTTATTTTATTTTTATTATTTTATTGTTGTAATCAAAGAATCTAACAATTTTTTCATTAATAACATTGTTGGCTTTTACTTACTTAATACATGATTATCATGATATGACATTCTAATTTCCTAGAAACTATTATTTCTATCCTAATTTTGTTAGATTTTTCAATGAAAACATACGAATCAATATTTATTAAATAAAATGACTACAAGTTCATTTCTTAACTATGAAAAATAATAATTTTATTATTTTATAATCCCATTCTTAAAGCAAGAATTTTTTACTTTAGTGAAAAAAAAATTAAATTAATATTAAGAATTAATTATAATTTGCAAATTATCATTATTTCTCTATTTTTAATCTCATAATTATTATAATTGTAATTATGTTTAGATAATCATTAACTCTTTAATTAATCTAGATTTGTAAACAATTCAAATATTTTATACTATTATATATGTATTAAATATTTTTGTAAATAAATACTATATATAATGATAGTTAAATAGATAAATACAAATTAAAATTTTTATGAAATTTAATTCATAACTGACAATTTAATAAACTTAATTATTCTAATATTAATTTAAATATATTATTATAAAGAACTTTATAAAATAATTATAAATTGTTATTTTAAACTATAATTTTTCATAAGCTTTTTAAGACAAATTATTCAAACTCTTAAAGAGATATAAAACCATCTTTATTAGTATCAGCTGCATCTAACCAAGTTTAAATATCTTTATATGTTGGTTAAGCTAATCCCATAGATCTGTATGCTTCTGCTACCATTTTTTGTATTTCCTAAACATTCAAGAAGCCAGAATTATCAGTATCATATTTTCTAAATACTCTTCTAGCAACATCTATTCTAGGATCTTATGGTTTATTAATTTATTATCTTTATTATTATGAAAATTAAGGACATAAATATTTGATGCATAATTCTTCTATATCTTAATATGTAACTTTGCCATCTCCATTTCTATCCATTACTTTTGAATAACTATCAATATCTCCTCTTGTTGGTTAAAAACTTCTGTTAAATGATTTATATGCATCAACTATCATAGGTATAGTCTCAGTTGTATCAATAACTCCATTTCTATCTCTATCATATGTCTCAAACAATTTCTTTGCTACCAATTTGGCACTTTCTAAATCACTCATACTTGCTGAACCAATTCGATAATCCATTAATTCAAAATTAAATAATTAGTTTATTAAATAATAATGGATTAAAACGATAGATATGATAATGAGAGGATTATAAAATTGTTAACAGAAGCTAATCAATTTTTTGAATAGAATAGAGATTATCCTCCTCATTAAATAGGTGAATTTTTAGTTGAATTTTGCAAATTATTCAAACAATTAGGAAAATTATTATATTTTGCATTCTCAGATGTTATTGAAAAAGCATAAATCATTAAAGATAGAGGAAATGAATATAATGAATAAACTAAAGGAATCTTTGGAATTATATAAATAGAGAAATAGAAAGGATTAATGGAATTAAATGGAGATAATAATAAAGAGATCTTAAAAAATAAAGTAAAATAAATCTATTAAATTATAAATAGACTTTACCTAATTATTAATCTATGGCTAGAACAATGTTGAGAATTATTAGATTCTTTAATTATTTAAAGATTATGTTTATTGATGTTGATACAAATAGAAATAAAAAGTTTTCAGATATTTGTTCTGATGCATACAATGAAGCTTTGGCACCTTACCATACGTAATTAATCCATATATTTTTATAGATTTATGGTAAGGAATGCTGCCAAAGCTGCATGGTTGGCTGCTCCAAATAGAACTAAAGTTTTTGAAACTTTTGTAGGACCTAATCAGACTGATGAAGTAGCATATACAGCAATAAAAAAATTTGTGAATGCTCTTGAACCTATTAGACTAAATTTTTGGGATTATTATAATACAAATAAATTAACAAATTTACCATGAGAATATCATATACATAAAATTAATCATATATTTTTAATTCCACATATTGTACGCAATTATTCCCAAACAATAAGTTATATAATATTAAACGGTCCAAATCTTAACCATTAAGGATAGAAACCTTTATAAAATGCACATAAGCCTTCTTATTTAAATGTCTTTATTGTACAATCCATCAATCCATTATACACTTTATGTCCTGAATCTTAAGACATGATTCTTGTTTTAATTAAATCCATAGGTGCAGTTGTAATAGATATGATTAATCCTAAATATATATATAATATTTGAATACCTGTAGCAAATGAACATACAAATTAAAGACTGAATCCTTCTTTAAATTAAAAATGCTCCTTTAACCATTATTTAGTTTAATCATATGTGGCCATTTTAGTTCCTGTGAGAATTGCACCTCTAATTAAATTAGGCATAGTGCCCTTATACAAACCTAGAATTCCTTCATGATTTAATATATGTGTAATTTCAGCAAATATTGATTAATGATGGCTAGATATAGTTTACAATCTAATTTTTAAACTAATAAATAATATTATTAATTTTTACACATCACATGGATTTGCAATAATAGCTCCAGTTGATCCAGACATTAAGCCTGCAAAAAACTTAACTCCTATAGTTGTCTTTTCTTCATCTTAGGATATCATATGCTTAAATGGTTCATATAAACCAAGTCTCAATGTTGAATAAGTAGCTTCTCTTACTAATGATGCTGATAATCCTTTATATAATGCACGCAATCCTTCTTCTTTATATATTACTTATGATCCTCTTAAGATATTAATATATTTTTTGACAACAGATTTTGCTTCACCTTCCTTCTACAATCTCACTTTAACTGTATCAAGTGGATAAGTAGATCCACCTGCAACTATCGAAGCTATTCCTGCTAAAAACATTCTTAAAATTGGTTTATTTTCTTCTGGAGCTTTAGAATTCATTTTATATATAAGAATTAAATTATCAATAATTATCATTATATCTTTTAATTATCAGATTCAAAAAATACTGGTTTTTTGATAGGAAGTGGTGTTAATTTATTTTTTTTAAGACTTTTTTTCTTTCCAAATATTTATGGGGTAGTTTATTATTAATCATTTTCAGATACACATAATTTACTAATTGACAATTTAGTATTCGGTATAATTAAATTATTAATTTAAACAACACTATTTTATTTAGCTATTGATATTTAAGAATTAACTAAACTTGATCTCATAACTTCACTTTATCTTTCATATGAATCTACAGAATTTTTATAATAAAATAACAAATATGCATCACTACTTTAAACATCTTTTTCTTTAATTTCTTTTATTATTGTATCATCAAAATTATACCATTTCTATGTATCTTTATTTTTACAATATGATGTATAATGACCTGAATGCAATGTACCACTATGATTAATTACTCCATATAAATCATAAGTAGCTTATTCTTATTCTGAATAATTGCTTAAATCTAAATTATACATTGGAAATTTTATTAATTATCTTAATTTACAACGATAATTTGATGTAAATTTAAATCGTTTTAGATGAATCACTAAGATATTTGGTAATTTCCATAATTTTATTCCTTTTTTACTTTTCTAAACAGATTTACATTTTGAACAATACCATTAATTTGCTTCATCTAATTCCTCTTCTTTCAAATATTCTGATATACATTATATTAATTCAGAATCTTATTAGATAGGTAAGCTTAAATACATAAATGTTTCAAATTTATATGATTTTGTATTACATACCATACATTATAGCATATTTCTAGATTAACCTTAAAATAAATCTACAATTATTGATCTATTTCTTTTCAAATAATCTGACCATGCTTTATTTGCTTATTATTAATTTGGTTATTAATCAAATGTTTTCTCTTCTATAAATGGCTTTATTTTCACTCTATTTAAATCTTCATGTAACATATCTAATAAGAATGCTAATAATTCATGACTATCTTATTGACTATTCATAACAAAAAATGGATTCCATAATTGAATCATAGATATCAATTCTATAGGATTAATACTCTTTTATTATGAATCTTTCCAAAGTGAACATATTAATCTAGCATAAGCATTTGTTATTTGACCTCTGCTTGATAATGGGTTCTATATATTCAATTCATGATTGTGAAGATTCTATTAAAAATATTCTGTAAGTGGTTATGTATTCGATAGGCATTAAATAGCCTTAAATTAAAATCAAAGTATCTACAGCATTAATATAACAAGTATTTCCTAAATTTTATAACCCTATTAAACCACATGATTTATTTTAAGGTAATCGTTTAAATTTATTTGGAATCTTAGCATAATTAATTGTTAAAACAACACTGTTTTCCATATTCAAAGGATGAACTCTTCTTATTGAACTCTCACTGACAGCTTCTTTGCTAGTACACAATCCCATTTAAATAATTATAATTAATATATATATATATATACGTTTATTAATGTTTATTATTGAAAAATTTATATATTCTTTTTATAATTGTAAAAATGGTTACAATTTAAATATTATCAACAAAGAATATCAATTTATTTAATATTGTTAAAGAATTTCTATTTTCTTTATCTGATTTTTAAATATTATTCAATTGAAATTTTTAAAGTAATATATATATTGATATTAATTGTATAAATATTTAATATGAATAAAAAAGAAAGAACATAAATATTTGGATTAATAATTATTATAGACTAAATAAATATTTTAAAATTTGATTTATTAATATTATATAAAAATTAGATATATATATATTAATGAATTATTTTTAATATAACTGAAATTATAAATCATTCATTTATTAATTTTAGATCAACTGCTTTTCTACTTTTATTATATTTTCCAACATATGTCATTAATTAAAATGAAAATGATGGAGGTTTATCATTTCCTCTTCCATAATGATTTACTTATGTTTAAGATCTAAAACATGATCCTAATTTTCTTAAGTCTTCTTTTGTAATTCCTGCTCTTTGTAAATCATCCAAATGAACAAATACATCTGAATTATCAGAATCCAAAACAATAAATCCATAACTTTTTTATTCATCAAAGAATTTCAATTTTCCTGTTTCTCTTGTTGTTGGAACCTCTAAAATGACAGGCTTATTATTTGGAGTTGTACTACTTTGATTTGTTCTTATAGAACTACTTTGAATATTTCTCTTTTTATTACTTATCTAATCCTGGTGGATTACTTTTTAGATTACTAATCTAGATTTCAGTAGAATCTTCTTCATGTTATTTTTTTTAAATGTTTTCTAATTCAGATTATAGTAAATCTTATTGATCTTTTTTATGTTCAGAATTGGATCGAATCTTTTTGGTGGATCTGACATCATTAAATACTTTTTCATTCATCCAAATATCTTATTCAATATTTTTGAATATTTTAGGTATATCAGCCTTTAATCCTATAATATTATTTATTTACTAATAAATATATTATTATATTTAATACTTCATAGATTATTTATTAAACTATTGTGGCATGTTAAAGAAATTCTTTTGAATAAACACAATCATAATGATTATTATCATCTCTACATAATTCTATCATTCTTAAATGATGATCATTGTATATTCTACACATTAATCTATTATCTTAAATGTAATATAGATTTATTTTAACACGAAACATCATGGATGTTAATTATAAATTGATTTAATCGAAACTTGAAAAACTTGGCTGTTTGCAATAATCATTTCTTAAGGCTTAATTTGTTTTTAAAATTGATAAACTTTGAGGAATGAGCTAATATTCATTTTCCATTTTACATTTAAAGTTATTTACTTTTCCAAATATTAGACTAACATTTAACTAATTTATGCATGTTATGAAGTAGTAAAATAAAGAGCATCTGATATAGCTCTAAATAGAGATTATGATCCAATAGGAATTTATTTCCTAAGTAATCCATTATCTTAAAGAAGCTAATCAATCATATTTAATAATAAAATAATATTTATTTTACAAAATTAAATATATTTATATAAATTCATTTCAATTTATTTTAAGTATATTTAAGTCCTTGGAATCTAAAACATATCCTTATATACTAATATATCCAAATGAAATTCCTGTATATTCAAATTATTCTTATTAATCAATATCTAAAAATTTTAGTTAAATTGATTTAGCTAATCTCTAAGTAAATTGATTAAATTTTATAGTAATCTCATAAGTATTTGGATTTACAAATTACAGCCAAATTAAAGGTTAAAGTTATCCTTTTGGTTCGAAAGTACAATAAATATATTCATTTTAAAATGAATTATCAAATTAAGTTTAATTACTAAAATTTTATAAAAGTGGTATATTTGTTTAAGCAGGACTATATTAATTTGGATCTTCATTAATTAAATTATACAATTCATCAACTGTTCTTAAATTATATTTTTTATTTTCTTTAATATATTAATCTTCACTTGTGATTAATAATATTGTTTTTATTATTTTATCACTAAATGTCTTTCTACAAATTTTCACTCCTTAAACCAAAGATATAGCTAAAGGTAAACTAATATATAAATATAAAATGAATACATTTGATGATCATCATCTTTTAAATTATAATTATTTTAAGAAGTCATTAAAACTATTTAAAGGTTTTTACAATATTAATAAAGATAAAGATATTCTAATCCATCAAATATTGTTTAATCTTCAAAATCTTCTAAATATTGAAAACTTAAAAATAAATCATAGATTTTAATCTTATTAGCACTAACATTAATAGAATTAGAATTGTAAAATGTTTAACTTAATTCCATTCCTAAAATCTCAATAAATCTTTTTGTATATTAAACTAATGCTTATTTTAAGTTAATAGAATCAAAAGCTAGAGTTCCTGAAATAAAAGAATTCTCTAATCTAAGAATACTTACCTATTAACTATCTGTATTCATGAATGATTTTCCAATCCAAAATCTTAAACTATTTTCAGTCAAACCTCCATTAGTTTCAGTTCCCCAAAATGGAATCTCTTATTATGTAATATTACTCAAAGATTTTATTAAATTTATATATTGATCCTATTATACTTTGATCATCAATTACTAAGGATAATAAGTGCTTAATATTAATCTTTGTATTTTTTTATTCTATAATAATTATCTAATTCAAAATTATTAATACATTAAATGTTTGGATAATGTTAATTTAGAATATATTTCACTAATATTCAAGAATTTCAAAATTTAAGCAATAACATTGATAGGCAATAATTCCATTATTATTAAATAATATATTATTATAAATTTCAACTTTGATTTTATATAATTAATTTCTAACTTTAAATAAATGATTTAGATAGAAGATTCTAAAATGAATGAAATAAGTTACCCATTTATTGTTAAGAACTTAAAAATACTTTAATAATTAATACTTTCTTATCCATTTTTTATATTATTGAATTATGTAATACATATATTAAGTCATTAGATTTAGATCTCTAAATTAAATAATAATAGATATAAATTAATATAATTATATCTCTTAAAATGAATGTATTTTATAATTTTCTTAATGTATATTTTTAGTAAATTATATTATATTCAATTAAATAAAATATTATAGTATTCAATTTCTCAAAATTTTATCCTTTAATAATATTACATTTCTATTGATTTCTTAGAATACAGGATTAACAATCCCTTTTTATGATGGCTTTATTTCATCTAAAGCTTTTTATTATAATATTAATTCTTCTTTTAAATTATTATTTTATCTCAATAATCTTTAATTTTCTAAAACTTATGATGTATACTAAGTTGATAAATCACATAATTACTATATTATTATAATGATATATACTTATTCTATTTATTTAATTGAATCAATAATGATTTACTAATTATTATTTGGTTATGTTTATTAATTTTCATGAAAAGATGATTAATAGGAAAGTTATGTCTTTTCTAATTATAATTATTCAATTATATTTAATTTAGTCTTATATTCTTTTTTGAATTCTTTAGTATCTTCTTCATATGCTATAATAAGAGTTGCTTAATCTTTAATTTTTTATTCATATTCATGTACTTACTTATAAAAGGTTATTATTTGATTGTTTAAATTTTAAATTTATTTATCTTTTTCAAAACTTAAATTATTTAGTCTTTCATTCTCTTCAACTACTTTCATTATTTATGATTCCTATAATAATATTGAATATTACCATTTAATCAATTGCATTGACTCTTTCATCTTCTTCGCATGCTTATTTATATTTTAATTTCCATTCATTAATTTCTTCACTTTATTAATCAATAACACTTTCTAATCTTTCAATTCTTGCTTTTAGACTAAGTAGATTGTATTAATCAGTTTAAACCAATTAAAATTATTGTTAATTCTTTAATTTTTCTATGATTGTAACTAATTCTTATTTCTCTCTAAATAATCTTTAAATGAGTTCATTTAACTTTTTATTTTCTTGAATAACAAAAGAATTAGAGTTATCTTAAGAACTTGATTCAGTACATATTCTCCTTCCAATTGAGTTATTTTCTTTATTATGTGTGATAAGTGGACTATCTGAAGTCAAGATATTTTTAGAGTTACTTCTTCTAAAACTATTATCATTAAGTTAAGATGGAATATTTAATAATTTAACACCCTTAGCCAATGAAATCTTTTATGGTGTTGAAGGTTCTTGATCATTCATCATTTGATTATATTATAAGGGAAATTATAATTATTAAGATGAAAGAGACTTAGAGGTTAGGGTTTTCTGATGAATATGTTAGTAGATTTTTTATGGTTATTATTTGTATGTCTATTTTGGTGTATGATAAGTATTAAGCATGTTTAACAGATTAATTAAATTTATTGTTAAATGTACCATATAAATATATATATTGAATGAAAATAAGTAATGTTATTGTTAGTCTTAAGATAATGAGGAATTATCTTAAATTTTTTAATTTAAATAGTTTGGAGTTATGGGAATTATAAATATTGAAAATATTATATTTTATTTGAAATTATATGGCCTAAAATACAACAAGTGGACCTATGCAGAAGTTTAAAATTGTCTTCTTAGGTAATTAATCAGTTGGTAAGACATCTATAATTAATCGATTTATATTTGATAACTTCACAGGAAATGAATAGGTATTTGGAATTCAAATAATAATAGCCTACTGTTGGAATTGATTTTATTTCTAAGACACTTCAAGTTGATAATAAATCAGTTAGACTTTAATTATGGGATACTGCAGGATAAGAGAGATTCAGATCTCTTATTCCTAGTTATATAAGAGATTCCTAAGCCGCCATTATATGTTATGATATTACAAGTAAAGTTATTGACATATTAAAGATGAGAAATCTTTTTAAGATTTATAAAAATGGATTGAAGATGTGAAAGATGAAAGAGGAGATGAAGTTTTAATTTATATTTTGGGAAATAAGATAGATCTAGAGTAAGAAAGATAAATTCAAACTGATGTAGCTGAAGCAAAAGCTAAAGTAACAATATTAAATTCAATGTTTAAAGGAATTAGGAGCCTCATTTTCAGAAGTTTCAGCTAAAAGTGCACATAATGTTTCAGAATTCTTTAAAAGATTATCATATGATTTATAAGGAACTCCAAATGAATAATAATAATAATAGCAACCTTAAGTAAAGAATGTATATATAAATAAATAGAAAGTCTAATAGCCCTTATAACAGAATCAACCCTAATAACTAAAACCAAATGATGCAACAGAGGATAAAAAGTAAGGAGGTGGATGTTGTTGAACATTAATTTATATAATTTTATTGTTCTGCACAAATAATAACTTATTTATTATTTATTTATTTATTTATCATATTATTATTCTTTAGTTTTGATTAGAAATATTCAATCTATTATATATAGTAAAATAATTGAATTTCATAATGTCAAGCTAAATTAATTAATCAAATATCTTTACAATAAATTTATATATTAATATATTTTGTTTTTTTGTATATATTTAATATATGAAATATCTCAATAATCTTTTAATATTTGCAAGACATCATTATAGAAATCATTATTGAGTCTTTGAATATAATTGTCACAACAAAGATTAACTTCAGCTACATTTCTTGCATCACTAATGCATGAATTTGCATCAGCTATTTATATATATTATTTGATACTTGTGTAGTATTATGCTCTATTATACACTCTATCTTACATATCTAACCAATTTTATCTCAAAGTAAGACTAAATTAGATTATTAATTGTACTTCTTTAAAGTGGGTTTACAAGCAATAGCTACCTTTCTGAAAGCATCTTTAATAATCTCTTTTTTATCAGATGGAATTTTAACATTTTCATATTCTCCTACAAATTTAGTATCATTTCCTTAAAAATCAGCTGTAAGTGCATTGTATTCAGCTTCTTTGTTCATTTTCATAATAACATCTTTGGCTGTCATTTTTGAATAAAATATTATTTAATTATTATATATATTTATATATAATCAATGAAAGAGTTTTCATTTTGAATTTTCTATTTACCTACTGTGTTTGGGAAATCTAAAAATAATATAAATAAATTAAAATTGTCAATTCATATCATCTTCATTAACTTTGATTATTTTCTATATATTGCTTAATTAATTTACTTATAATAGTCCTTTCTAAATAGATTAACTAAGATCAATTTTTCGGATCTTCACAGATTCAGGATGAACATTAACTAATATTTTATTTTTTTATAATCCATTCAAATTAGTTCCATTTAATGCTATAACAATTCTTTCACAATATTCCAAATCTTTAAGAACTATTGTAATACATCCTATATCATTTATTTCAATTATGTGTTTTTGTGTCTCTCTAATACACTCATTCTAATCCATCTTTAATGTATAAGATATTATTTTCTCTATTTAACTAACACTGATTGTTTTGTCTAATCCTCTTAATATAATTGCTGCAAAGTCTTCATTCATCAATGCCAATTAACCACAACTAAATTTATAACCAAATATTGATTTTGATTGCTTCTAATTTTATTTACTCATAAATTGATTAGCAACTATTAATGGCTAATCTGTTTTCAACTAAAATAATAAGCATGGATTTGATTAATAATATATTAATTTGATTTCTTAAACAAAACCTTTAATAGGTAGCTTATCTACAAATTCCTATACTTTTTGAATTTCAATGTTTTCATCAATGTTTTTAATTATCAATTTAGATTTTAAACCATCCTTTAATACAGTTGAACAAGGAATCTGAGAATATTATGAAATCATAATAATTTGAGAAGCAACTTTATGTAATGATGGATATTATGAAGGTGTAAAAACAATAGACTCAGAATCTGAACTCTCTTGAGCTACAATTTGATAATCATTTGTCCCATAATTAGATTAAAACATTGAGTACTTTATTGATGGAGCCCAACTCTTTCTTTATACTAAATTCATTTATCGTTGTCTATTATGTTTATAGACTTCAGCAATATTCTTTTTTGGAATTGAATTACTCATTCCATTAATTAAGGTTGTAAATTCTTAATACATTTATTATAAACTTTATATACAAATTTTGTTAAAAATTTACCATTAAATAATATGAATCTAATAATTTAAGTTCTTTATTTCATTTTCAAAAACATAAAATAAAATTAACATAGTTTAAAGACATAACACTTATTATACTATTTTTTTAACTATTTTTATATAAACAATATAAATTTGATATATTTTTTATACAATCCCTATCAACATCTTTTGATTAATCTAAGAATTGATATTTAAATAATTATATTAATTTAACTAATAAATTAAACTGATCAATAAAATAATAATAAATTATATATATATATATATATTCACTCTTTTTTATGATACTTCCACTAATAAAATTTATATTATTAAATTTATTAATATCTTAATCTTTATCATAAGCTGGATCATTAATTAATATCTCCTCTTCATCATCTAATAATTATTATTCACCATATATTTCTTTATCTTCATCTTTATCTTCATTTTGCTTAATTTATCTAAAAACTTCAGCTTAAGAAGGTACTCTATATTTATTGAATCTGAATTCATTATACAAAAATACATACTTTTTTTTGTTTATCTTTTTTTAAATTTTTACAACTATAACTACTCTGCCAACATGCAAAGCTAATCGTTTTTATGAATGCAAATGAATTTATAAATCAGATTCTTAAGCTAGTACTAAAGTACCAAATTTTGAACAATTATCTTATATATGAAAAGATTAATCATTTTAATTTATTACAATACTTGCATGATGACGAGATACTGAAATATCATGTAATTTTATATCACAATCTTAAGTTCTTTCTATTTTTATAATATTTCTATTTTTAATTTCAATCACATAAAGTCCTTACTCTTTATTTTTATCATTATGATTAATTTATATTAATAAATAAGGTTCTTTAGGCTTATTCACATCACAAATATTATAATAAAATAATTTAAATTTAAAAGATGCTATTATATTAAAATCAAAATTACTTTTATAAGTAATCTTACATAATTCACATTTCATACTCCACCAATAATATAGATTTACACCATTTTATTCTTTTTTTTTTCGATTAACTATTCAACCAAAACTACAAGCAATTTAAATGCACAAACTTTATTGAACCAGCACATTTACAAGGACTTATGATATGATTTTCTAAGGTAGCCAATTTACATAAACAAAATCTGTATTAAACTTGACTTTCAATAAAATAACTATCATTTAATTTATTCCTCTCTTCCATTTCATCTGGTATAGCTTTGTCATCAAATTCATAGGCAAAACTATCATATAACATAGTCAGCATAACTCTCCCTAACTTTATTAAAGAATTTATATAAAATTTCTATTTCTCAAGAGTTGACAAATCTGAAATTTAAATAGGTTGAATGACTTTCCAAAAGGCATTTTCAATTTTTTAATTGTGTAATTCAATTAATTATTTGTTACTTTTCAAATATTTCTTTTTAGTTTCTCACTAATTCCTAGATAATTTTATTGTAAATTAATACATTTTTTGTAAGGGCTTAAATCTCTTGATCCAATTAAATAACTCTTCCTATTCTTTAATTTATAAAATCATTACCTTAAACATTACCTTAAAAATAAAATCCAGTTACTTTTTGATTAATGAATCACTTTCATAATCAAATAAATTATGTCAATTATCAGACCAAATATATGCAATCATATGGACACTAACTCTTTTAATTTCCATACTTGTAAGGCAATTCTATAATTTTAAAACTCTTTAATCTCTTTATTCTTGAACAAGTTACTCCCATTTTTAAATTATTATATATTTTATAATATTAAAATAATAAGAATCATTAATCTCAATTTTAATAAAATATACATAGATAACCTTTGAATATTAATTATTATGATAAAAATTTTATTTTTTTTACAAAATTCTATTTGATTTTCATATCACATTATAAAAATATATTTAGAATTGTTGATTATAAATTAGTGCATAAATGAAAATGGATTAAATTTATTTATATTAAGATTTAATCATTTAATCAAGATGATTGTAAACAATTAAATTATAAATTAAGGTTGTAAGTTGAAAACATTTTATTCTGATGAAGATATGTTAAGTTAATAAATTAAACATCATTATTTAAAGTTTAAATGTGATTTTGATATTTTAATCATTTAATAATATTTACTTTATACTAATGAATCCATTCCATATTGACAATTCAATACCACCTCTTAAACGAGTTAAAGAGAGATTAGTTGGAGATGCAATATTAAAGGTAAATCAATGGAAAACTATTCTACTTAATGGAATTCCTTAATCTGATGGTACTACAATGAGATTAACTCTCAATAAGGCAGCTGAGATAATAGGAATTCCTAAAAAAAGTTTAGAAGACTATAATTAACTATTTAAAAAAGTTAAATTGCTAACTGATGTAAATCAATTTTCAAATGAAAAAATGGGTGTACTTAGAAATTACTTAAGAAAAAATTCGAAAAGACTAAAAAAAATATTAAAAACATAGAAAGTTTAAGAAAATAATGATTTTAAATAAAAAAATAATCATTTCGATAATAATTCTTCTTAAATTCCATTAGATATCAAATAAGATAAAGAAAATAATGAAATAGTATAGCATTAAATCTAAAATTAATCAAATAAAAAAAAATAAGATGAAACTTCAATAATTAAATTAGAATTGGTAGATGATTATTTCAATTAATTTGAAAAAGATTATGAATCAGATTTAGAAAGCAATCCCTCACCTCTAGGTGTAAATTTTATAATAAAAACTAAGCAAATAGGTTGTAATCAACATTTTGAATAATATTGATTAAAAACAGTTACATTTAGTTATTATATAAGGATTAGACATTTATAAAACTTTTATAATATATTCGTTATATTAAAATTCAAAGAATAATTAAAAACAACTTAAATATTTTTACATAGATCTCATATATATTAAAATTTAATTAATTTATTCTCTGAAATGCATTCTTTACCTCGATTGACTAGTTAGAGCATAAATTATCATATTAACAATTAATCAGATTCTTTAAGTAGTAGAAGATTTCATCTTGGAGAAAATGTGTTATATAAAATTCATAAATAAGCTTTATCAGAATATTTGAAATCTGGAGTAATTGATTAGAAAATACTACAATTAAATTTACTGAAAATGAGTAAACTTAATAGTTATGATTTATCTATATTAAAAGATATTTATTCATAACCTTATTCAAGTAGAGTTGATAAATAATAAGCAAATAATATATTATCTAAAGTAAGTTTAATTAAATAAATGCAAGATAAAAACATAAAGAAATCCTAAAAGTATTAATTTAAATGAAAAAAATTAAATTGAATTAAGTTAAGAGGAAATTGATTTTATGACAATAGAAGAATAATTGTAATATTTATAATTTATAAAATAGAAAATAATGCCTAAGATCTAAAATAAATACTTCTAAAGTATTTAATGGAACCTATTTAATAGATCCAACAATAAATGATATTAAGAAAATTAATTTAAAAGGAAAGAGATAATTACATCATTTATTAAATATGGAACCAAAAAAGAAATTATCAAAAAAAACTTCAGTATTACAAAAGTAAGCTAGTATCATAAATCCTTTATATTGTCGTCAATCATCAACTCAAAATATAGAAGTTGAAGATGTTACTTAATATATGTCATCTAAAATATTAGAATCTAAAGCTAATATTGAATTATTAGTTGAATAATTAAAATAACCACAAATTTCTGAAAAATAATAATATTTTTTTAACTTTGTATAAAACTGTGATTGCAAATCTCTTAATACTTTATTTTAAGATTAATATTTTGATAATTCAATAATTAATACACCTGATTAAGTATTAATATTTAATATATTATTAGAAAGGATTCTATGCAATTCATATAGCTATAAAGAAATAAAATCCATAATTACTTAAACTTCTCTTAAAGAATGGTGCTAGAATAAATGTATTAACTAAAAATGGAAAATCATTAAAATAGCTAAGTGAACTTTACCAAAATTAGGAAATTATGGAAATCTTAGAAACATAAAAATACTATAAATGATATATTTATTAACTAATTAATTAATTCATTCTTATCAAAATATTACACATTTATTATTTGGTAATGCACATTAAACTAAACTAAAATCAGATTCTTTTGTTTTCTTTTATGTTTAAACATTCCATAAATTTAGATTTGTTATTTTATCACAAACTAATAATCATATTATTTTTAATTTACTTATAGTAAGATGTGCTAAAATTAATTTTGAATCAGATTCATTATCAATAAAAAAAGAATCTTTAAAATCTAATAGATTCAATTTATATTAACTTTGTTCTAAATAAATTAAATATTAAAAACTGTCATAACCAGCAAGAGTAAAATTAGGATAATACTATTAAAAATTAATTGATTTCAACCAATCCTTTATTGTTGGTATTTAATTTTAATAAAGTTCAAGATTTTCAAGTAATCCTTTCTTAGAAATTAATCCCATTTCTATAAGTTAATTAGTAATGCATACATTCATCTAATTTAGCCAAAATTCTTCTTTAATATCCTAATCTATCAATGCCATATTTATTCAATAAATATTTACACTAATTTGTAGATGGCAATGAATTTTATAGACTTACATTATCATAAATCTTTAAATCAATAAAATTTTAAAAATAACGCTCTTTTAAACCAATCTCCATTAAAAATGAAGCAATAGGTTAAAATTTAACACTTTAGATTTATGATTGAGATTCTTAAGTAGTAATACTATCATCCAATATTTAACTCATAGAATTATTTAATTTTGCTAAATTGATTGGAATAATAGTATCTAATGATTTAGTTTCATTTAATTAATCATCTATTTAACCACGTTTATTCTTCATTCTAGATTAAGCTTCAATTAAAGCATTTTTAACATCCTATTTTTGTTTTTGCATTTCTTGAATATTTTATTACAAACTTTATATTTTGTCTTGCCATTATTCTATTAAATCATTACAACGAGATTCTGACTAAAAATTGTTGAATCTATTTATTGATTTTTAGTCAAAACTGAGTTCTTAATTGATTGACATTCTGTTATAAATTAAAATGAAATAATTAATTCTAAATTATAGGAGGAATAATGAAATGAAAAAAATGACATATCAAGTATTATATTAATAAAAATAGTATTATTAAGATTTAATTTCGAAATGGGGAGACAGTATTATCAGATGGTTATAGTGAAAATGAAAACAAAATAAAAAGAGCAAATATCAATTTTTTTATTCCTCTTAGAACCTTTAAAGAAAATATTCTTTATTTTCTATTACTTATTTTATAGGTTTTCTCGTCTTAAGCCTTATATTTAGTAGGGATTCTTTTAATCATACAACAATGGTTAGTTGATTTAAATAATCTTATGAAGATTAGAAAAATGGATTAAATGGTAAATAGTTAAGAAGCACGAGTATTAAAATAATGGGATGAATGTATTATCAATAAAGAAATAATTGAAAAAATTAAGGAGAGATTAACTAAGCAAGATTAAAGTGAAAGTAATTAAATATAAAAGAGTAAATCATAAGCTGAAAAAAGTTCATAAGGAAAAAGAGCTGAATAAGTTTAAATTTAGAATAAAGGAACAGTAGTTTGTATTTTTTAATTGTAATTTTTAGCTAATGTTTCAATTCATTTATAGCATATATCCTATAAATAGTAATAGAGCAATAAAAATATCAGAACTGATAATGCTAATAAATATAATCAAATGAGTCCATTGATTTAAAAGGATATGGCTTTAAAATTAAAGTAGATATAATTAATGGAATCTGATCCATTAATAATTGAATTTAAAAAGAAAGTACCTAGTATGTTTTACAGGGATATCCCATTAACTGGATAAAAAATATAATTGAATGAAAAATTGAAAAAAATAGAGAAAGATAAGATGAATTTGATTAAAATCTAAAATGTTGAGAATATAATGATAGGAGATGTGATTATATTAGAAAGAAATCAAAGAGCACCTTGTGATATACTAGTTTTACATTGTAATGATGAAAATTTTAGTGTATAACATCAATTATGTGATTATTCTTCTACCACTGTCAGAAAACCAGTAGTTTAAAATAGATGTATTATTTTAATTATTAATGTAAGCTGATTCTTAGAACTTAGCCTAATTTAAAAAATCTTTAACAGGTAATATTGTTTGTTATGAACAAAATTTTTAAATAAAAGGATTCTTTTAATTAAAAAAGGATCCTTAATCAAGAATATTTGGATTTGAAAATTTTATATTTTGTTAAGAAAGATTGTTAGCAACTCCATGGGTATTAGGGATTGTAGTAAAAGTAGGAAATAGTTGTTAATGTTATGCTAGATTTTTAGGAGAACTTAGATTTGAAAATAGTTAATTTCTTCCTCATTATATAGTAATTTTGGTTATCATAATAGTAATAATTTATATAAATTTAAGATTTAAATAATTGTTTACAATTAAAATTATATTTTGTAGAATTTAAGATCAATTACACAAATTATTATTGATAATTGTATATTTTTAATCTTAATGGTTCCTCATTTCTATAAAATATATTATAAAATGTGTAGTATTATACAACTTAAAGGAATAGGAACAATTGATTAAAAATAGATAATGTCTTGTTAAATTGATAAATACATAGATAAATAATATTTAACAGTTAGTGTAGATGCATTTATTGAATAATCCTTTTCACTATAATGTATAATTCATGATAATAAATTATGTGAATTTGATGAACCAAGATTTCTTTAATTTTTAATTTAAACTAATGCAGATTTAAATATGCATAATAAATCGAAAAATGAAGAAAAAGAGGGTAAATATTAATATTTTAATATTTTAGAATAAGATGATTTATAATAAGGGTCTCAAGTAATAAATTACCTTATGTAGAGTTAATATTCAGATGAACTTATGAGTTAAAGAGAATACATAGTAAATCAGATACCAAAATCTGTTGAAGGGAGATTTATATACTATTAATAATCAGAATAAAAAGAGGATTTACATTTAAATAGGATTAGTTTAATTTAATAAGAATAGACATCAAAAGAGAAAACATTAAATGAAAATCATGATGCTTATAATGAAACTTTTTAAAGAGCATCTAATCTTGCAGGTAATTCAAAAGGTTATCAATCATCAAAAGAGCCATTTAAATCAGAAGATTATTAGATAGATGAACAAGAATTATGTTAGAATATGATGAGAAATGATGAACCAGATGAATTGAATCCATTATTATTATAATTAGCTATGAATCATCTTGCTTTTTCTAAATTATTGATTACTGAGAAAAAAGAATAAAAAGTAAAAAATAAATTTTTAGGTTTATTGGATTAGAAATAAGTAAATTTAGCAAAAGCAATGGGTTATGAATTCATATGTGTAAATAGTATTTAGTAATTTATTAAATATAATAATTAGGAATATCTAACATTATATTATTTAAATTAATCAAGAGTTGCATTCATTTAAATTGGTCATAACTAAACTAGATATTTAAAGATAAAGATTATTTATGCTATTTGAAATGGTAGATTTTTATTAGGATATTGATAAATAGTTTATTCTTTTTTTAAGAGAAGGAAATGTAAAAAAGAATGAAGGTATTGATGATAGGGTTTGGAAACATTAATATGATTAACTTCATTACATTTATTATTCATATTGTTATTTAACTTAAGATAGTGCAAATGTATTTTTATAATCAGCTGAAAGTGATAACACATCTGATAATTAATTATATACATTAATGGAATAAGTATTTAAATTAAATATCATTTTGGGAATTAAATATACTTTAAAGCCTGAATGCTAAGATTTTATGAAAACTATAAGGAAATCTGAATATTAAACATTTGTCTACACTTAAAATTAGGAGATCTTTTCTACTTCCATTTTGTATTAGTCAGAACTTCTATTATAGAATGATTTAGTTTTACATTTCAATTAACAAAATGAAGAGGATTTGCGTGCTTATTTTAAATAAAGTTTATAAGATTTTTCAAATACTTTTGGTGATGCAAGCATTAATTCTTCATAACTTATTTAAGCTCTTAATTCATAAAAGCATATAATAATAGATTAAATTGAAGAGAAACCTAGAACAAAGAAAATAATTGTGATGATGAATAATTAATCATTATAATATATCACAGATAATCATTATTTTAAGAGCAATCTAAAATTAATCCTTAGTTTCACTAAAGTACTATTTCTTTATTAAGCTACTCAAGATTAATTAAATATGATTTAAGATATTTGGTGTACTTCAAATAAAACAATTAATATATTATATGAAAATTAAAGTTTATTAAGATGCTTATATGGGTGTCAATTACAAATATTGTAGTTATAAGAATTCAGTTTATCTAAATATCAAAACATAGAGAAAGTAGAGAAAAAGAATTTCTTTTCAAATCTTATTACATCTTTATAATAAAGATTAATATTTGAGAAATGCTATTTTAATGAAATGTAAATTAATTCCAATACTGACATTATTTTAAGAGGTTTTAAAGAATTAGAGAGACTCCTTTTCTTTTAGAGTCCTCTTTTAAAGATATTCTTTAGAGCCATATATTAATAAACCATTTACAAGACAATAACTTTTGTTTCTTCTTTTACTTTTGTTACTATAATTTATACATTTTATACTCTTGATTAACTGGATTATTTAATAGAAATCATATTTTACTTTTATATATACTAATTTATTTTATATTCTCTTTAACATTATTCTTTTGTTGATCAATCTAAAAGATTACAATACAATAAAGATTAATCAATTTTATTGGAAAAGTATTCTTAACATAAATCATCAATGGAAAATATCATCATTATGGTTTTAAAACATATGATTTAAGGTGTTCTTATTTCATGTATATTTATTTATAAAATATATGATTTGGAATACTATTTATATATTTTTATGTCTATAAGTATAGGTGACTGGTGTTATTTGATGATTAATTTGAATATAATTGAAGCAATAATATTAGCTGGTATTTTTCCAATTATATTTTACTTCTATATATTGTTTGACAATATTCACAATGATGAATGGAATAATTCAATAGATATTTAAGATATATTTACAATTATTGTAGGAACATCTTTCCTTTTAATAACTAATCTTTTATTTGATTATGTTTAAAATCAACATAATATTAGTATCCCTATAATAAATGAAGATTTTCTTTCATATTTACATTATATATAAATGATGGTAATATCAAAATAAAAAAGGAAAAAATTGACTATTTTATAAAATAGAGTAAATGAACTTTTTGAAAATATAGAATAAGTAGATTTAAGTATTTAAAAATGTATAATATATTATAATATTGATTAGTACTTATAAATTAATAAAATAGTTAAAGTAAATTTGGTTAATGGAGATAATAAATATTTAAAAAGGCTTAAACTATATTAATGTGGAAGAAGAAATAAATTATTTAAAGTTTCTAATTACTTTTTTATCATAACACATTTATAATTATTATATACTTTTATTAAGATAGATAAGACTTTTACTTAGTTGTCTATTTAATAACCTTTTGTTTATAAGCAATATATTTTGCTATTTAAATTTTAGTTTAATTACCAACAAATAAATAAGAATATTTAGAATATGCAAAATTCTTTTTATCGACTGCTGCTACAATTTCTATATTATTTGTAATGAAATCTGTTGATAATATTAATTCAATTTTGACAATTTAATATTTTATAGTATATGAATTGTCAATAAAATTTCATCCTATATATGACTTTAGAATATATATAATAACAGCTGTTGCTACTATGATTGGATATATTGTTTGGTATATAGTTGAAAATAATACAATAATATCAAATTAGATTGCTGTAGTATAATTTATAATTCTATTTTCTGTTTTATAATACTTAGTAAAAAGTTATGTAAATAATTCAAATAATCCTTTTAGTTTATTTAATTAGAAGAAGATTAGGCTTAAAATAAATTGAATTTTATTGAATAAAATAATAAGATTAATAATATATTAGGTATATTGTTACCTAAATTCATTCGAGATAGATTAAATGAAAGTAATTATTATAATAAATTTGTTTAATAGCTGATTAATATAATATCCATTAAAATTAAGGTTTGGTTGCAATTGTATTTTGTGATATTTGTAATTTTGATTAAATGGTAATAGAAGAAAAGGATAAAATAATCACATTTTTAGATGATATTTTTAGAACATTTGATAAATATTGTTAAATTTATGGAGTTCAAAAAATAGAAACAGTTGGTAAAACATATTTAGCATCAGCTGGTCTTAAGGCATGTGAATAAGAATTAACTTACCTATCTTAGGTAGATCCAGTTTAAAGAGCTTTAAATTTAGCAGAATAGATGATGAATTATATAAGATCAAAAATGTAAATATTGTAATGAAACTAGGTGGGGATATAAAGGTTAATAGTTAGTTGGTAAAATTGGTATCCATTATGGAGGAGCTATAAGTGGAGTAATAGGATTTCATAAACCTCAATTTTCACTGATTGGAGATACTGTTAATACAACTAGTAGAATTTGTTCTACTGGTTTAGAAGATACTATTACATTATCAGAATAGGCATTTGATTAATTAAAAAATGAAAATATTGAATTTGAAATAAGAAATGTTGAAATGAAAGGTTTGGGTATAAGACCAACTTACATTTATAAAGGTAAAATTTAAAATAAAGAAAAACAATCTTTTATGTAAATTGAGTAGGATGTATAAAGTAAAGAAGCCAGAAGTTAATATATGGTTAGAAAGAATCCTGAAATTTTTAAGAAGGATCTTAAAAAAAGGAAAACTGTTTTAACTTAAATTGATACAATGAAATAGCGAAGGGATTCTTTATAAGAATAAGGAACACCAAATGTATTTGGTATAAAACCTATAGATCCAACTTATTATTAAGCTTAGGATGATAAATCAAGACATTCAATTAAACTATTATAACAATAAGAATCTGATGAGAATAAAATTAAAAAATCATAAGCTAAACCTAGTACATTCAAAAGATTAGTTACTATGTTTTAGAATAAATTTTAACTTGAAAATTATTAACCAGAAATTGATGAATTAATTGATTATGAATAATTACTGGTAATAATATATAAATTAATTAGAGAATGTTATATTATTAAAGAATGAATATACATTAGAACATAATATAATTAAAGAAACATCATTTATATAATTATTGCAAATATCTTATTATAAAAAATAAATGAGTCAATTTGTTAGTTATGAATAATATCAAGAATTTGTTAAGATTCAATCAAAAAATCAAACTGTATAAAATTTAAGAATATACGTTCTTTATTATATTATTAAATCTTTTTGTCAGATTCAATTTTATAGCAATTATAATTTAGGTTTAATAGTTATATAATGGATATTTTGTTTACTTAATTTAATGTAATTTATAGTAAATAATAAATCTTATTTTGAAAAGTGGAAGATTTTCATAATAATATTATTATGTTTTGAAGCTTTACTTAGTGGATTAGTGATAGATCTAGTAGAAGATGATTATTTAAAAAATATTCATGTCTATGAAATAATCTTTATATAATCCTTATTTTGCAGTATTCAAATATTAAGCTTTTGGATAAAAGTATTATTTTGTATTACAATTGCATTTTATTCTACAATTATTTTAGCAATTGATGGAACCTAAATCGTTTCAATATATTTTATCTTAATCAGCTCTATGTATAATATGATATTGATTTTATTAATTGAACAATAATAAGTAAGTTGTTTTAATTAAAAAATTATATATAAAACATAATAATAAAAAGAATCACAATTATTATAATATTTATTACCAAAACATACCTTAAATAAATTTTTAGATGATAGAATAAGCAATATAGGTATTTGTGATAAAATTGATGATCTAACAATATTATTTGCTGACATAGCTGGTTTTACTGAATATTCTAGTAAAGTAAAACCAGAAGAAGTTTTAGTAATGCTCAAAAATTTATTTGTTGAATTTGATAGGAAATGTTGTGATTTGAATGTATATAAATTATATACTATTGGTGATTGTTATGTAGCTATTGGAATGATAGATTATCATCATAGAAATCCTCATTAGGAGGCTAAAAATATAATAGATTTAGCATTTGAAATGATTAAAATTATAGCTTAGGTCAGGAAATAAATAAATTTTGAAGGACTTAACATGAGAATAGGAGTACATACAGGATCAATATTTGGAGGTGTTATGGGTACAGATATTGTTAGATATGATATTTATGGACCAGATGTATTAATAGCTAATAAAATGGAATCAAATGGTGTTAAAGGTTATGTACAAGTTAGTTAGTAAACAAAGAAGTATTTGGAGGAAGATTATGCTAATCTATTTAAATTTGAATAGAATGTTATTCTAGAATTGAAAGCAATTGGAAGATAAATTGAGGGATATTTAGTAAAAAAATAAGATGAAGATCATATTAATGAATAAGATGTCCCATTTTGAATATTACTATTATTGTTTTTTATAATTAAATATTTTTTAATATTTTACTCATTTTTTTATTGTTGTTATTGGTGCATATTATTGAGCTGATATAATTAGTGGACGTTATTAAGCAAACATTGTTGGTCTTTATGCTGTTACAGCTCTTTATTTAAAATATGATGTCACTCTCTAAGGAGACAAAGATGAATTAATTTATACTGGCTAGATAATGCTTTATTTAGTATTCAATAGATTTTAAGAATACATTATTGGTTAATATCTAGTTTAAGGATTTATTAATTTTGGAGTATTTACAGTAGATATACCTTAAGTAGGAAATGCATTTGCTTTGATTTATTTTAATTGTTATTGTGATGATGTTTGATGTTACATAGAGAATCTAGGATTCAATACTTAACTTTAGTGTATAGGATTTTCTTAAATTAAAATATTTTTTGAGTTTTAAGGTGTTGATTAATATGGGTAATAATTAGGTTACATTACTGTTGGATGTGCTGAATTAATTAATGAAGAATAAATAATTTATGGATAGATTTATTAATTTGAAACTCCAATTTGTTATTATTATTTTTATATTTATTTAGATTATTATTATTATTATTATTATTATTATTATTATTATTATTATTATGGTTATTGTAATGGTTATTATTTTGGTTATGGTTATTTAACTAATTATGGAGATTTTGGTGCTGATTATCTATCATTTGTTATAATAAGTGGATTTGATTTATTACCTAAATATTTTGGTAATATATTTTCAAGGCCTTCACCAAAATATGTTATTTTTGCAGAAATTTCAATTTATTATGCAAATTATAAACCATAATATTTTATCCATCTTTAATCTCGATCTAAATATAATTTTTTAGCAGTTTCTGGTGTATCACTCTTATCCCCAGGAGCATTTTTAACAGGACCAAATTCATCTTCCCTTTTTACTTCAATCAATCCAAATTATTCTTTTGGACATAGAGGAAAACAATCAAAAAAAAATAATTCAAATTTCAAAGCATTTATTTAATCTGGTTTAATTATCTATTTCTAGTTAATATTATAATAATCATATTTTTTTTAGGCAACATGATAACTAATTTATTTAATATATTTACTTTGCAGCTAATTTATTACTTGTTTAAGGATCTTATATTATTTTATGTGCAAATTCAACTGTACAGATCATTTAAGCTATACCTCCTGCATCATAAAGTAACTCTCCTTAATCATTCTTCTTATTCAAATCTTCTTATGTCATTTCACTATATTCTAATCTAAATTTAAATATTCACCTATAACACATGGTTTTTCATTAATTAAAGCATGAATTCCTACCTTCTCATCTGCATGTGTCTTTTTAACAAATTTACTACATATAATTAAATTTTTTGATTCTACATATCCAATCCAAATTGGATCACATAATTTACAAAGGACATTATCTACTGGACATATATGAATGTATTTTATGCCCAAACATTTCATATAATCCAAATATCCCTAATTGTAGAGACTACTAAAAATTCCTCCATTTCCTTTTCAATATATTAAGAATATTCTTACCATCAGGTCCTTCCAAAATTGTTGTGCAATCACTCAACATAATTTCTCCATTTATTGATAAAATAGGAAGGGAATCCTATTGAAAAAATGTGATTTGATCTGATTGAAGATTAAAGTAATTATTTTCTATAAAAAACTATGTTGTTTCTTCATGATTAACATCTGAAGTCATGATAAAAAATTGAATAGGTAAACATGATCCAATTTTTGATTGAATCATATTTTAGAGACTCAAAATTCGTTCACAAAAAATTTGAAATAAAGTTTTATGAGAAGGCAAACCAATATCATACATTCCTTTTGCCTTATTAAAACCCAATCTGGTACCTTATCCACCAGCCATCATTGCTACACAAACTTAATTATTATTAAATTGTAACTATACCCTTTCCTTCTGAAATTAATTTCTCTCCTAATTTTTGATACTGTTGAAGAGTTTCTTTAGGAGTAGAGGCAACTCTTAATACATTTTTTATAGGTTTAAGTTCACGATTTTCATTTGTCTTTTCTTTATAATGACTATAGACCTAAATTATTGATTGCAATTTACATCAAAAAGATTTCTAATATTTATGGATTCCAACTTTTCTAATAACTTCTCTTTATCCTTTTCCTCCAAAGTGCTGAGGTAGTTTAAAAGAAGTTGTTGTTTACAATCTTCATAATCCTATAAGGTTGAGACTTTCTTTCTCATTTGGATATTAATTTATATATTTATAAATATTCAAAGTAGTTTAATAAAATGAGTGTTCAGCTATTTAAATTTTATATGTAAAATGAAAATAATATATATGTATTGAAATTAAACTTGAAATATCCATTCATCTATATATAAATTGAATAAATTTTAATATTGATTATGAGCTAGAAAAAAGCTACAATATAGGACTATATACAAAACAAAGTGAAACCAGTGTTCGATCAATTAATAGCTAGAATAGTCATTGAAAAACCAGAAGACGTATATTCATGGTCTATAAATTGGTTATAAAAACAATGTAAATATATATATCATAATTTTGAAGAAAGTGGAGTATAAGTGTAGTAACTTGTTCATCATGATCTCAGTGAAGAAGAAGAGGATGAGGAGGAAGTAGTTTTGGAGATAAAATAACAATAAAAGTAACAAACCAGAACAGCAGTTTCTGCTGAAGTTTACGGAGAATACAATAAGAAAGAGGATTTTAAGCCCAGATTTATACAGAAATCAGAGGGCTAAATTGAAAGGATAAAGAAAAGAATATTAAATTCTTTTATGTTCTAAGCTTTGGATGAAAAAGATCTAAATATTGTATTAGGAGCCATGGATGAGAAGAAATTTTAGTAAGAGTTATTATTTACTTAATAAAAGAGTTGGAGATGTCGTAATTAAACAAGGAGATGATGGAAATGAATTATATGTTATTGATGAAGGAAGATTAGAATGTTATAAAAAGTTTACAGGATTGGAGGAAGAGAAACTGTTAAAGACTTATATTCCAGGAGAATCCTTTGGAGAATTAGCCTTATTGTATAATGCTCCTAGAGCAGCCACGATTAAGGCTATAGAGGAAGTCACAACATTTGCTTTGGATAGAGAGACTTTTAACAATATTGTCAAATTTTCTGCCATCAAAAAGAGAGAATAAATGGAAGAAATACTAAATAAAATTGAACTATTATAATCAATGGATAATTATGAAAGAGTTTAATTATGTGATGTACTTAAAGAAGAAAAACATAAGGCAGGAGAAACCATCATTACTGAAGTATTAGTAAAAATTATATATAGGGTGAAATTGGAGATAAAATTTATTTGATAATAGAAGGAGAATTAGAAGCTTATTGGAAGGGATAGAGTGAAAAAGTTTATGATTATAAACCAGGAGATTACTTTGGAGAATTGGCATTATTGAAGAACACTCCAAGATAAGCAACTGTTATTGCTAAAGTAACTCTACCATTTAATTTTTTAGACTGATGTTGTATTATTATATTGTGATTTTAACTCATTCAGAAGACTAATGGGTCCCCTAGAAGAAGTACTCAAAAGAAATGTTGAGAGATATGAAAAATATTTACAGTAATGATTATAATTAGAAACAAATATTAATTAATGATTTAAATGGATATCAATCATAAAAAGTTGTATAAATATCCTACTTTATCAGCAAAACAAAGATTTCTATTAACAAAATTAATCTCTTAATAAGATCAATAAAGTGCTTTATCCATAATAAAAGATTTGATTGGTTAAAATGAAAAATAGTTGAGAGGTTTATATACGGCAATTTCTTGGTTAGATAAAAATTATAGAGATATATTCTTTTAGAATACACTTCCAAAGATGGCTTAATATTCTTTAGATATATTAGAGCTTTCTCCAAAAAAACATTTATTAGTTTCTGAAGGTCACATTGAATTCACAAGAAAAGAAATTTATCAATTTTTATCATTAGCTTTTTTTGGATTATTAGAAAAGTAAGATGATCAATTTCCAAATACTTACAATTTAACATATATTCTATAAATGGAAGCAGAAAAATCTAAATGTTACCTTTATTACTTTATAATTGCAAATCCAGATTTAGAAAATGAGATTGTTTAACTTGAAAGGATAACTTTCAATATGAACTATCATATTCATCAATTTTTTCCAAATCCTTAAGCTAATTTTCTGGAAGATGTAAAATTGTGGTCAAATTGTGAAAAAAGTCTTTAAATAATTGATTTTGTTGATCAAAAAATAGAAGAATAATAAAATAGTATACTTGTAGATTTTGCAAATAAATATATAGGAGGAGGTGTTTTAAAAAGTGGATGTGTTTAAGAAGAAATTTTATTTACTATAATGCCAGAAAATATAATAGCAGTGTTGTTTTGTAAAGTTTTAGACTACAATGAAGTTGTGATAGTGAAAAATACTATTAGATATTGTGATTATGATGGATATGGAAATACATTCCACTTTGTTTATAGATAACCTAAAAATTTAAATCAGAATATTCTAGCTATGGATGCTTAAAATTATAAAAATAACCCTGTAAAACAATATTAATAAAATGAAATTATACGTGAATTAAATAAAGCTTTTATTGGATTTTCATTATCTTAATTTTCTAAGGAAGAGGAATTCTTATAACCTATATCAACTGGGAAATGGGGATGTGGAGTATTTCAAGGAAATACATAATTAAAAACTATCATTCAATTAATTGCCTTTAGTGCTTCAAGGAAATATGAGAATTAATAAAGAAGAATGATATTTTCAACATTTAAAGATAAATAATTATAATTTATTAAGAGAGATGTAGATAATATAATTGGAAAATACAAAACTGTGGGTAAACTATTCTAATAATTAATGAAAATTAATACTAAATAAGGAGTGTTTGATTTTCTATTAGATAAGAAATGAAATACAAGAGTATACATAAATATTATGGATTACCACAATATAAATAATATTTGATCTGTGATTAATGTACTAACAAAATGTCATATTGATCATTTTTATTCTTCTTCATCTTAGCCAACATTGAAATATTTCAATTAATATGTGGCTTTGTCGAGGGAGTGCACATACAAATACTCTCTCAAGGTTTCTTATTTCAAATATTTCTTTGTTAAATATTTGAGGTATCTCTTAGAGAATGGGATTGTGGATGTGACTACAACTTTCTCTTATTCGGCAGCAACAGTGACATCGTTACCAAGATTTCCGGTCTTTCCTTAAACCTTGATTCTGGATTAAAGATAGCTCACGAATTCATCTAAGTTCAAAACCTATCATAGGGAATTATGCCACTATGAATTACTTTATCTTCCTTTGGTTCTGTGCAATCAATGACGAATTTCAAGTTCAAGTTTTTGGCTTTCTATTGATCTTTTCTTCTCAAAATAGGCATACTTAATAAAAGATATTAAATTTATTTAAAAATAACACTTTCCTTTTATAATAAATAATCACTAAAAGTCAAATTCAATAATGGAAGGAATATTAGGTATTCTTTGCATCATATTGTTTTTATGTTTCTTATTTTTATTTAATCTTCTCATTGTTCTACCTTCCTATCCAAGTACTATATAATTTGTTTCATCAATATGAGTAAGTAAATGAATTGCTAATACTGCAAAAGATCCAAAAAAGAATTACCTTAATTTCTCTTTTAATGGAGTATCATCAGATTTCTCTTCTTATTCACTTATTGCACTAAATCTAACTGAAAATCTTTTAGGATTGTTATTTGGAGAATGATAAGTTGGAATAGGACTCTAAACAATCTAAAGTTATTAAGGTTTAGAATGAGTTGATTTTCTATTTTTATTACTTAATTATTCTGTGACATTCTATTATCGAAATCTTTTAATGGATCCTTTAAACATTTCCTATAAATAAATTGTTAATTGAGGATCATAAGCCTCATTAATTAAATTTATTGGTAATTATATTCTTCCAAAATTCTCAACAAAATCATTATATATTGATTTAGCTTTTACAAATTCTAAAAAAATAGTCCACTCTTCTAATGAATCTTCAGATTCAAAAGCAAAAAGAAATACTCTTTTATCTCCTTTTACTTTACCCTTCTTGATCCAATCACTTACACCAACTTACAAGCAGAATTATTACTAATCATCAGATTTATCAAATATTGGAATTATGGTAGTAATCAATTTTAATGGCAATATTCCTGTTTGTTCACTCATCTAATTATTTAGATACAAACTAAAGAAATACAATTATATTACATAATTACATCATATTTTCACTATCAATAACACAATATCTGTATTGCCATGATACTTTTTTATCCGACCTTTTGAAAATAAACCCTTTTTTTAAAGGAACTTTCATATTATTATCTGTTTTCAATATCATTTAAATCTATTTAACAATTAAAGATTTCTTTGCTTTATGTGAAAATTTGATTATTGCATTTGAACTCTTAATACTAATTTTTTATTCAGCCATTTTCAAATGATATTCTAACCTTTTAAGTTCTTTATAATCTTCATAAGGTTATGGTATAATTTATAATGCTTCAGCAACTAAAGAATGAATTGATCTTCTTTAAGTATATGTCATACTTTAATATAAACATTCTCTCATAAATGGAGTAACAAATCGATAATAACGATTTTCATTATCATCATGCATAAATTCTATTATATCTTATTATACAAGTTATTTCAAAGACATTAATAATTTATTTTAATTGATTTATTTGAATGGTATTATTTTGAATAAGGTTTAGATATCAAATATATCTCCTATTACACATGCAAATTTTAATAGTAATAAATTAATACAAGATAATGAGTCAATTATTGGACCATTCATTTAATAACAAATTTATGGTATTTCAATTTATAGCCACTCTTCATGTTAAAATAATGTTTATAATTATTAAGTAGCATAAACTGAATCATTTTCTTTGATAAGATATTTATTATCTAATAATGTTTTAACTAAATGAATTAAAAGTAAAGGTTAACGACAACTTTTCAAATGTAAAATTTAATGTATATTTGGATCAGAAAATTTATCAAATCCAAAATATAATAACAAAAAATGTTTTTGTTCTTCAATATTTTTAATTCCTTTCATAATTACTTCATTTGGTGTTACATTGTATAAGTTAATAATTGATTCAACTCCTTTATCATAAATTAACTCTTAGGATCTATTTGGATTTCTAGAATTTCCTTTTCTACTCATTATTGGAATCTCCCAAAATTAATCTCTTGTTATTCCTATTATTAATATTCTATTAAATTTCTTAATAATTGTCTTTATAAGCTAAAAATTTAATTATTTTATTTTACATAAAATGATAATTGATCATAATATTAAAAATCATCTAAAATTATAATAATTGGAGGAACATCTACTTTATCAGATGATAAGTCATTAGAGTTCACATCATCAGATTCATCATCCATCATTTATGAATATAATCTCCTTTTCTTATCTGGTAATTATTATTCAAAATATATTTCAAATAATTTTACAATTCCTTAACCTATTAATTTCATCATCTATTCTTCATTTGTATTAGATTAAAAATTTGGAAAATTATTAACATATTCATTTAACCATTCATTTAAATCCATTAATTCTTCTAATAATTTTTAAATTATTTTATTTCCATTACTAATTAATACCAATAATTCTTATTAACTATAAGTAGTTTTAGATAGTGCAATATCAAAAATTTATTTAATAATCTTCTTGAATCCATTTCCTTTAAATATTTTTTCAAAGGAATTAATTGAAGATTCTAAAATTAGAACCTTTGGATTCTCAGTTTTTATTTAATATTCCAATATTTTCATTACAAATGTTTTTCCTACACCATAACTTCCTTTCAATAGAATGAAATCCCTTTCTATATCCATATCTGCCAAAGAGATCCTACCCTCTCTATCCATCATTAAAAATGTATTTACAATATGCAAAATCTATTAAGTCTTATCTTTACCCCCAACAAGTCCTTTGTAATTAAATCCCATTTTGCTCTCATAATAATGAATTTTCAAAATGGATTTTTATTATGTTATTTAATAAACAGGAATGAGTCCAGTCTTACCTTTCAATTAAACCATCTTAAATAATTCAGAATCAATTTTATGTTCACAATCTTCTGCTGTCTTTTAACATAATAAAATAGATTTATTTTCTATTATTGCTAATTACATTAATCTAGCAGCTAGATTTACTGCATCACCTAATATTGAATATTCCCTTCTAGATCCACTTGTTCCTACAACCCCAGTAAATACTATTCCAGTTGCAACTCCAATATAACATTTACAATTTATTAAACTTAACTACTTTACTAATAACTAAGCTGCTAACAAAGCACGAATAGGATCATCCTAATGTTTTAATGGAGGTAATCCAAATCCAACTATTAATGTTGATCCTTTATCATCCATTAATAATTTATTTAATGATCCTTCATTTATGTAAATACATTTTTATACAACTTCTATCACTTTTTATATATGCTACAATCTTGAATCAGCATCACTAAGATCAATTCCTAAATTTATAAATAAAGTTGTGATTCTTCTTAATTCACTACTCCATTTCTCCTATTCAATTTCAATATAAGGAATTAATGCTGCAGGAATAAATGTCATTATCTATTATTTATTTATCCCCCCTAATCTATTTTTTATTAATTAAGCTCCAGCTTTCAATTAAACTTTATTATTAATTAATTTTACAACCATATAAAAACTAGAATCATTCTATAGTCTCTAAAAAACAAAAAAATCAGAGACCATATCAAACACTTCCTATGAAACTATTATTTAACCTCCACTAGTAGCATGATGTTCACTTTTAAATGCTTATGTTAAAGGATCTCCTGTAGCCAAATATTCACTCCTTCCAAAAACTCCTCCAACATATATAATATTGATGTCTCCTATACCAAATCCAATTTTAACTGAAAGTTTGATATCTTCCAAAATTGTAGTATTATTTAACTTAGATTAAATGTCTAATGCTGATTGTACAGCTAATCTACATATGACTTTCAATTCTTCATGGTTTTCTACAGCACTTTCTTTAATAGAGGGAGGCCAAACCACAATCATGGCATCTAAAAATAGTATTCTGCATACCTCCAGCAAATTTAAAAATATCTCCACCACTCTTACTTATTGCTGATACTAGTAATTCCATATAACGATTAATGGCAAATGCAATAAGCTCAGCTCCTTCATTTCCTAATTTTGATAAAGTTTCTGTCAAATTCGTGAATCCTGATATATCTGCAAACATCACTACAGATCTTAAATTTTGCTTTTCTGGAAGTTAAGTTATTTATTATTGATTAGCTAAATATTGGACTACCAATGCTGGAACAAAACCTAATAAACTCATATTTTCATTTTTTGTTAGCATAATATTATATAAAATATATAAACTTAATGAAAATTAGTTAATGATTTAATTGTTTATAGAGATATAGAAATTAATTTCTGGTTTTGAGTCAAAAATGTATTCATTCTAATTATATTATATTTATTTAATTTTGAAAGTTCTATTAGATTTTGTAGAATTTATTGTTTAAATTATTGTATTAAGATATTAAAATTTAGACTTATATGAATCAAGTCTTAATATCGCTTAATTTTAAATTATCGCATCATTAAAATTATGATTGTAAGTTATCCATACGATGTTCTTATTAAAAATTAATGAATATTCCTTATCATTCTTCAAATAATTTACAAATTATTATTTATAATCATTAATTAAAATGAGATTCTTAATTAGTTATCTGATTGGGATTTAAAGATATGAGTACTTAATTTTAATATGATAATATTGATATCAATACTAAAGACGATTCTAAAAATTGAATGACAATTTGAATTAGATAAACCTGTAAATTTGTTCTTAATTTATATAATAAAAAAGGAGCAAAGTAGATCCAAAATAATTTAAGTTTCATAAATTAATATATATATATGAAAAATATATATATATATATTAGTTTATTATAATTTAAGTATCTCAGTTTAAATAAAATGAACGAATTTAATTTAATATATTCCTTTGAACTCTAACTTATTACTTTAGAATCCTATATTTACTATAGAATAACAAAAATCTGAATTTAAAAAATGTATTGTATATAAATTAAAAATGATGATATTCCAATAAGATAATCTATTATTGAGATTAAACTATTATTTGGATTGATTCATAAGAGTGTAAATTTAATAAAATATTTTAGGAATGATTGATTATTTGATTTATATATATATATTGATTTTTCATGCTTCTCCTTCTTCACCTTCTCCTTCAGCAGTTTCAATACCAACTTCTTCATAATCCTTTTCTAAGGCAGCAAGATCTTCTCTGGCTTCAGAGAATTCTCCTTCTTCCATACCTTCACCGACGTACCAGTGGACGAAGGCTCTCTTGGCATACATAAGATCGAATTTATGATCAAGTCTGGAGAAAACTTCAGCAATAGCAGTTGAGTTGGAGATCATACAAACAGCTCTCATAACCTTAGCCAAATCACCTCCTGGGACGACTGTTGGTGGTTGATAGTTGATTCCGACCTTGAATCCTGTTGGGCACCAATCGACGAATTAGATTGTTCTCTTTGTCTTGATGGTGGCAATAGCAGCATTGACATCCTTGGGGACGACATCACCTCTGTAAAGCATGGAGCAAGCCATGTATTTACCATGTCTTGGATCACACTTAGCCATCATGTTTGCTGGTTCAAAGGCTGAGTTTGTGATTTCAGCAACTGATAATTATTCATGATAAGCTTTTTCAGCTGAGATGATTGGAGCATATGAGCAAAGCATAAAGTGGATTCTTGGATATGGCACCAAATTGGTTTAGAATTCAGTGATATCGACATTCAAGGCACCATCAAATCTCAATGAAGCTGTCAATGATGAAATGACTTAAGCAATCAATCTGTTCAAGTTTGTGTATGTTGGTCTTTCAATATCCAAATTTCTTCTGCAAATATCATAAATGGCTTCATTATCCAACATGACACAGACATCAGTGTGTTCCAACAATGAGTGGGTTGACAAGATGGAGTTGTATGGTTCAACGACGGCTGTTGAAACTTATGGTGATGGATAGATGGTGAAACCCAATTTAGATTTCTTACCATAATCGACTGACAATCTTTCCAATAAAAGTGATCCTAATCCTGATCCTGTTCCTCCTCCGACTGAGTGGAAGACCAAGAAACCTTAGAGACCTGTGCAGTTATCAGCTAACTTTCTGATTCTGTCTAAGCACAAATCGACAATTTCCTTTCCGATGGTGTAGTGACCTCTGGCGAAGTTGTTGGCAGCATCTTCTTTTCCTGAAATCAATTATTCTGGGTGGAATAATTATCTGTATGTTCCTGTTCTGACTTCATCAATAACTGTTGGTTCCAAATCCAAAAAGACAGCTCTTGGGACGTGCTTTCCTGCACCAGTTTCAGAGAAAAAGGTGTTGAAGGCATCATCTCCTCCTCCGATTGTCTTGTCTGATGGCATTTAACCATCTGGTTGGATTCCGTGTTCAAGACAGAATAATTCCCAACAGGCATTACCAACTTAAATACCTCCTTATCCTACGTGAATAGATATGACTTCTCTCATTTTTAAAGTGNTTTGATTTTTATATATATATTGATTTTTCATGCTTCTCCTTCTTCACCTTCTCCTTCAGCAGTTTCAATACCAACTTCTTCATAATCCTTTTCTAAGGCAGCAAGATCTTCTCTGGCTTCAGAGAATTCTCCTTCTTCCATACCTTCACCGACGTACCAGTGGACGAAGGCTCTCTTGGCATACATAAGATCGAATTTATGATCAAGTCTGGAGAAAACTTCAGCAATAGCAGTTGAGTTGGAGATCATACAAACAGCTCTCATAACCTTAGCCAAATCACCTCCTGGGACGACTGTTGGTGGTTGATAGTTGATTCCGACCTTGAATCCTGTTGGGCACCAATCGACGAATTAGATAGTTCTCTTTGTCTTGATGGTGGCAATAGCAGCATTGACATCCTTGGGGACGACATCACCTCTGTAAAGCATGGAGCAAGCCATGTATTTACCATGTCTTGGATCACACTTAGCCATCATGTTTGCTGGTTCAAAGGCTGAGTTTGTGATTTCAGCAACTGATAATTATTCGTGATAAGCCTTTTCAGCTGAGATGATTGGAGCATATGAGCAAAGCATAAAGTGGATTCTTGGATATGGCACCAAATTGGTTTAGAATTCAGTGATATCGACATTCAAGGCACCATCAAATCTCAATGAAGCTGTCAATGATGAAATGACTTAAGCAATCAATCTGTTCAAGTTTGTGTATGTTGGTCTTTCAATATCCAAATTTCTTCTGCAAATATCATAAATGGCTTCATTATCCAACATGACACAGACATCAGTGTGTTCCAACAATGAGTGGGTTGACAAGATGGAGTTGTATGGTTCAACGACGGCTGTTGAAACTTATGGTGATGGATAGATGGTGAAACCCAATTTAGATTTCTTACCATAATCGACTGACAATCTTTCCAATAAAAGTGATCCTAATCCTGATCCTGTTCCTCCTCCGACTGAGTGGAAGACCAAGAAACCTTAGAGACCTGTGCAGTTATCAGCTAACTTTCTGATTCTGTCTAAGCACAAATCGACAATTTCCTTTCCGATGGTGTAGTGACCTCTGGCGAAGTTGTTGGCAGCATCTTCTTTTCCTGAAATCAATTATTCTGGGTGGAATAATTATCTGTATGTTCCTGTTCTGACTTCATCAATAACTGTTGGTTCCAAATCCAAAAAGACAGCTCTTGGGACGTGCTTTCCTGCACCAGTTTCAGAGAAAAAGGTGTTGAAGGCATCATCTCCTCCTCCGATTGTCTTGTCTGATGGCATTTAACCATCTGGTTGGATTCCGTGTTCAAGACAGAATAATTCCCAACAGGCATTACCAACTTAAATACCTCCTTATCCTACGTGAATAGATATGACTTCTCTCATTTTTAAAGTGCTATGTGATGAAAACTCTCTAAAAAAATTATTTGAATTTCAGCAGTTACCC